GGATTTACCTACTTGCCGCCCATGGGCCGCCTATATTTTGCCGCCTCCTTCTCATTCGTTTTGAAACATCAATAAAAAACATCAAGTGAACGAGCCAGCGGGGGAACGATGCAGAAGACACGTTTACTCGTGTTGAGCACATTTTTTGGGAAAGCCCTGTCAACACTACTAGCAAAAGTTCACGGAACTTTGCGCGAAAGTTAAGTTCCGTACACCTATCTCTGTGTGGACAAGGCCTTCCATTCAGAAAGAATGAACGAAAAAATTATGAAAGGACAAACGTAAATGTAGTTTAATGATTTTAACTTCCGCCGCCGCGCCACGCCGACTCGCCGACTGCACTGTGTTTGGCGCAATGCGTGAAGTATTCACGCAGACTTGTAGGCGCTATGCGTTTCACGCTGACCGCACTGTCTTTGGCGCAATGCGTGAAGTATTCATGCATGCTTGTAGGCGCTATCCGTTTCACGCCGACTGCGGTGACCGCACTGTGTTTGATGCAATGCGTGAAGTATTCGTGCAGTCTTGTAGGCGCTAATATGTGTTACATGCCGACCGCCGCGCCGAGGGCTTCTCCTTTCCATCTCAAGTCCTCGTCATCATTTCTCTCTAAGTCTCGCCGTTCCAGGCAAAATTGCGTGTTTGATTTCTCTCTTAACTCGACCAGTGTTCCAACTTCACCTCCAAGTTTTAGGAGCCGTTTGGCCCATCAAGTTCAATTTTTAGGGGCCATTGAAGATTTTTTAGGGGCCAAATTGAATTTTTGCCTATATATCACGGCGCATTTAGTGAAAAGTTATACGCAAGATATACAGTTACAGGACTTGCAAGTTGCAGCTCGCAGCCATTACTTGGGAAAGGGGAAGACCAAAGGAATGATATTCCGATTTAAAACAGGAGCTTTTAGTTTACTTAAAGTTTGTTCAATTAAATTATGCTTTTTCTGACTTCCTATTATGAAAAGTAGTAGAACGATTCTACAGTATGTACGATAAGTAGTACGATTCTCGATCTGCTGAGCCGCTGCCGCGACGAAGTTCCGCGCGCAACTGCTTGCTATGCGCGTTCAGTCCAGGCTGACTGACAAAAATTTTGAAATCATCAAACCGTAATTTAGGATTGCGACAATTTTTTAGGGGCCACGTTTGGCGCAGGGTCTTCATTTTTTAGGGGCCATGGCCGATTTTTTAGGAGCATTTGGCGACATGGCGCTCGTGGGGTTGGAACACTGAACTCGACTAATTAAAGGTGCTGTCTCTTGTATCACTGAAAGACGACAAAATTAGAAAATTACTATACTCTTAGGAAAAGAGAGATTTTGTTGCCTTTTCTCGGTTGTAATTTATTTTTTAAATTCGATTTTTTTTTATACCTACGTTTAAAAAAATTGCAAAATTTGCCGCCCCCTAGATTTGCCGCCATGGGCCGCGGCCCATGTGGCCATCCCCTTAATCCGGCCCTGGTTACTTTTCCATGAAAAAAAGAATGTAGACAGGCTGTCTTTGAGAGAAAGATAATGAGAAAAAAGGGGGTTGGGAAACCAGAAAATTAATTAAAAAGGACTCCAGTTTAGTGTAATCAAGTATCACTGATTTCCTCTGATGATGGTTTACTATATGTTGAGGAAAGAATTGATAAAATGGAAGAATATCATCGAGCGCTGATTTTTTCCGAATTCGCTTCAAGACTGAAGAGTTTCCAGATCTGCGAGTCGATTACTGAAATTGATAGACAAAGCTACAGACAAAGAAGATAAAAGGGATATGGAGGAATCCTATCGATGGAAGCGAGTGGTTGCTATGGACAAAGGAGGGAGTTAATAGACCTAACTGACGGCAACCCACGAAAAACCCTATAGTTAGTCCATCGTTTTCTCCCCCAGTCTGTAGGAACTACTCTTTTCAACAATGGCGTGGCGTGAATGATCGATTATCGATATCTCGCCATTTGAAGCTATGGTAAAGAATCGATGACTAAGGTGTTCGCTGCGAACACCCTGATAATCGATCTTTTTTCATAGGTTTGAGTGGCGTATCAATCGATAAATCGCAAAGCACGCCACTGCTTTTCAACCGATAGGATCGCTTCATACTCTCTATGTCTTCTTTGTCTATCGCTTATTGTTAGTCTAAAATTTCCAATTATCGGCCCGCTGTTCTATTGAAACACGGAGGAGTGATGAATGAATTAATATTTAATCAAAAACGGTAATCTTTGGTAAGTTTGCCTCCTTTCAAGTAGACGGGAATTTCGAGTGGACGATACTCAATGAGGCCCATCGTCGGTGTCGGTTCAATCAAAGCACGGATTCGAGTAAGATAATCGTGTGCTTTTCGGCGAGATTGAAGGCGAACGTCGAGAGGACGATACTCATCACCCGAGAGGCATTTTTCAACGAAAAAATCGCGATATTTTGAAATTAAGTTCCGAGTTTTTTAAAGATTTGTGGGCGATAAAATCGCCGGGATCGCCAACATCTGAGCGATTATCCTCGATCTTGTCGCAATTTCATCTCTATAAAATCGCGTTAGATAAAATCGAAATTTCATCTCAATTTATCACGAATTTTTGTTCGGTAACATTACTGTGAACCGCCGTCGATAAAATCGAGATTTTATTGCAAATTCATGCTATTAAATCGCAATTTTGTATCCCGATAATACTGCAATGAATTGACGTCGATAAAATCGCGATACATTCTCCGATCAAATCGCAACTTATCGCGATCACTGCTACTTGGGGCAATGGCCTCACGCATCGTCTATTGATTCAATTGAAATGTGAAGCTAGTCGGATGCTTGTCGCGGAGATAATTATTCGTGCATCGCGGTAGGTTTCTTGCCTACCCGCGAAGATTGAAGGCGAAATTTCAGTGGACGATACTGCGAGTGGCATCACGGGTCGTCTATAGGTTTAATTAAAGCACGTAGCAAGATATTTGGGTGTTTTTAGCGGAGATGACAAACTATATTCGTGCTTTCCTCCAGGTTTGTTAATAATCTGGCAAAATTGATGAAAGGGGATTCAAATCTGATTGAATCAAGAGTATTTTTTCTTGTCAATGTTTTCAAGAGTCTGGACTCTAGATCCAATGTATTTTTTTTTCCAATGTAATACAAAATGGAAATTTTTGCAATTTGGCAATATTCTTTTCCTCCATTTGAATCCATTAAAATTAATCGAATCTGGGTGAGGCAGCCTCGATTTATTGCGATTGGTTCACGTACTTTCAAATGGACGAAGCATACCGTTTCGCCAATTGCCCAGAATCACCACCGACAATGGACGAATAGTTCTATAGCAGCAGTAGGTAAATCAGATGACCTGGGGACGGCCAGTAAATCAGTCCATTAACTTTTGACCGCGCGGGAGACGAGTCAAGTCTGGCGAGGGGGTGGGGGCGGGGGGGGGGGGGGGGGGGGGGGGGGGGGGGGGGGAAGGAAGAGGATCGGGGTTAATGGAACACGCTCGGGGCAGCCTCCATCCTGATTTTAGAGCGACTGATTTGAAATCCACTTGAACGCACTTGGGCTAAAATTTATTTCTCGTCGCCTTCCGGCTAAAGTATCACAAGCGCCATGCTACATTTAAAAAATTCCGGCGTCAATTTTTTTTTTTTTTTTTTTTTTTTTTTTTTTTTTTTTTTTTTTTTTTTTTTTTTGCAGAGACATTCTTCAATGAAGCTGTTCGAAAATTTCACTGATTTTTTTTGTGCTACCGATAAAATTTAGTGAATTTTCAGACGGATTCAACTGATTATTCCTCTGTAAAAAAATAAAATGGCGGCGGAGATTTTGAAATGTCGCATGGCGCTTGTGATACTTTGATCGGAAGGTGACGATCTCCTTTCTCTCCCACGCCACGAAACTGGAGAGAAAGCCGGTGGCAATTCTCGCGAGTTGACAGAGCCGTTTTTTCTATATTTAGCTCCATCATAAAAAAAAGTAGCTTTTAAGTGACACGGTGAGATGCCTCGCCAAGAGTTGAACATTTTTGTAAGAAGGGGAAAGGCATTTGTAAGATTTGTCCACTTTTCCACAATTCACGTAGCAATGATCGCGATAAGTTGCGATTTGATTGGAGAATGTATCGCGATTGTATCGACGTTGATTCATTGCGATAATATCTGATAAAAAATTGCGGTAAATTGCGATTTAATCACATACTTTCTGCAATAAAATTTCTATTTTATCGAACGCGATTTTATAAGTAGATAAAATTGCGACAAGATCGAGGATTATCGCTCAGATGTTGATAATCCCAGTTATTTTATCGCCCAAAATCGTGAAAAAATCGCAACTTAATTGCAAAATATCACAATTTTTTGAAAGGAAAATTCTGATTGGGTAAAGTACTATTTTCATCGTTTCCCGGGCGAACGAACGTAACTCTGTTCCAAGGTTGCAGAATTGACTCAAACAATTCAATTTTTCACGAAAAGGTACTTGTGCACTTTTTGTCCAAATTGTCTAATTTTTGCATGAGATCAGGAGGAAAATCGGTGAAATTTTCAGTTGACACTGCCCAAGATCTTGCTGGTAAAAATGCGATTTACGGGGGAAAATTTGGAAAAATTGAAAATAAAGTTACGTGTTTTCGTGAGAGGGACGACGTTTCGTGGGACAATTTTTAGGTTGAAGGAGAATAAGGTAATCACCCTCCAGCCCTATTCAGAGGGAGACTAGGTATGTACCTTCTTTTACTTTAGGGTGGAGGAAGGGGATCGGTTTATACATATTTTTTTTGGCACACCTATATTTTTGGCGCTAATTTTAGCGCCAAGCGAGTGTGGAGACTATCGGTTAATTTGGTAGTGTGCGACGGATTTTGTAACGTAGGTATCCGTTTTTATGATCGTATAATTTACCCTTTCTCTTCAAATAACTACGACGTTCCATAGGCTCAGCGACGGCACTGTCTTCAATTTTTCAGAAAAAAACTAGGTTTCTATTTTGCAAGGGTCACAACTAAGTTTTTCTCTCATCATTTATTTGTTTCAGAGAGGCGAAAATGACGGACACTTCGTGCGGTCTGACGAGGCATTTTAGACCGAAATGGCTGCAAAGGTTTGCAACGCCTCGGACCTACATGGTCGTCTACGGTTTGCTGGGAACTATCCAGGCCATGAGCTTCGTTTATTTTACTGTCACGTTATCGAACATAGAAAAACGATTCAAAATTTCCAGCAAAACAACCGGTGAGTCTAAAACGTCACAGCACCTCCTCCCTTCCCGATTTACAGTGGTTTTAACTGAAGAAAATAGATCGAGCGAACAGATAAAAACTGTAAGGCTTGGAGGACAAGGCACATCAGAGCAGTTTTCAAAAAAGATTGAGATATTACAATGATTTTAAGTAAAACTAGTCTTAAAGCATTTTCTATGAAAAATTTGCTGACAAATTCAGATTTTTAAGCATCCAAAAGTCAGTTTGAACTTTCTTTCAGCCGTGAGGCTCCATGTAATTTCGAAACTTCAAACCGTATTCCTCGAAATAGCGAAAAATGCACTTATGCGCCTTGTCCCCATGTCCCTCAACTCGTCTTACTAGGGTCGATAGGTTCGGCCCAACTATTAGATGTTGGTCTGCGACAGTACCGTTGCAGGAGAGAATTAAAAATCGAGCAATCGACAACCCTCTACTATCCTGTTTTCCTTTGGTTGGAATCGTTAATTTATAGAGGAAAAGGTGGAAAGTCAGGTCCCCTCCCATTTCGGCAAAAGTAATAAATAATAAAACTTCTGAACGGCCTTTTTTAATTTTATCTTGGTGATAATTATCCAAAAAAGGCCCAGAAGATCATAGGAGTATCCGCCCAATATTTACAATTGGATTGCATTTTGCAAAAAGGAGCCACGGGCATTCCCGCAATGTCGCTAAGATTGTGCACATTTTTCCACCTTACAAATATAAACTTATTCCCAATAAATTATTAAGTCAAGCCGAGAATACCTTAGTAAAATTTTTCTGCAGGATTTCAGGGATTTTATCGCAAAGAATGTAAGTTGCACGATAATCCTAGCAACATTGTATATTGGAATGCTTTTGGTCCCTTTTTGCAAAATGTAACCAAATTAGCCATACTGATAAAAGATGGGAATGGAATCCGAGGGAATAAATGAAAAAAAGGAAAAGAAAAAGAAGGCGGAAAAATGAATAAATAAAAATGAATAATAAATAAATAAATATGAACAGTGAATAAATGAATACGAATAAATGAAAAAATAATAAAAAATCAAAAAACAAATTCTTCCACTCGGCCAGACCGTTTCATCCCCTAATAAGCCCAAATCACTTCTCAGTCGGAATTTTCTTGGATGCGCGCCTACAGCAGTCACTGAATAAGCAGTGAAGCCATACCAAAGCAGATATTCTTACAAGTTGGCAACACTGGTTTTTGACCATTTGAATGCGGGTGAAAAATCGATTTTTATCGAGGTGAGCTGGTTCACCTAGAGTCGATTGTTTATAATGGATTAAAATGGAGAAATTCCCGCGTTGCCAATTTGAGAAGATCGCCAATCGAACGAGAGTTTATCGTTTTCACATTCGCATAGAATGCGGCATATCAACCCTTCCGGTTATCTAAGGCCCTTCCACCAGGATGTGTCTGCAATCGCAAACCAACCAACAAGGCTAGACTAACAATAGGCCTGCCTGTGTGATAAATTAAATATTCACTGCATTAGAACGCGATACGATCTCAAATCTCCATGGAAAGAAATGAGTCATTCGGATTTAAAATGAAAGCTCCTTCCATCTCTCCGCGAAATACGAGTAACCAGCGGGCCGATTATTGAAACTGATAGACAAAGAAGACTTAGGGAGTATGGAGCGATCCTATTGGTTGAAATGTGAGGTTCCCATAGACTAAGGGAGAAAACGATAGACTAACTGTCGGGTTTCTCGTGGGTTGCCGTTTGTTAGTCTATTACCTACCTCCTTTGTCTAAGCTATCACCCGCTTCCACCACCCGTCAAAAAATTGAACAGCCAAAATAAGCCCAAATAAGAGCCGTGGAATGTCCCGAAGACCGCCTAAAAACGACAATCCGGGCCTAATATAGCGGTAAAAAGGATATCCAACGAGAGTTTCCCGTCGTTCGATAAAAAGATTTCCAGCCAATAGGATCCCTCCTTATACCTTTTTTTCCCTTTCTCTTTAGCTTTGTCTATCAATTTCAATAATCGGCCTGCAGAGGTTTTCAAAATAATAATTTTTTGATCTACGTTATTCGCGGCGTGCTACTGGACCGAGTCAACAGGAGAAGTCGGACAAAATCTGAAAAATCTGGAAGCTTATATTTTCGGAAAAATGAAACCAGAAAGTTTAAGAGTGGTTCCATTGGTTTTTCCGTGAAATTTCCTCTCAGAAACACCCTTTGAAATTGAATTTGTGACGAAATAAACATCAACATTTGAGATTTTAGCCAACGATTTCAAGTCCGACCTCTTCTGTAAGCTCGTTCCACTGTGGGCCGGTGCCACGCACCTCGCGAAAGGACCCACCGGACCCACCGTTGGCCCACGATAGTTCCTGTCTGAATTCAACTTTATATATGGACGGCGTTAAACAGAAAGGAACCAAGCCACATCAGCTATTGCCTTTAACTGGGCAATTTAATTTCTTACATGAAAACGATTGTTTCGATTTTCGTACAAATTTCAGTGAAGATTCTCCAGAGTGCGAAGCAAATTCCTTGAAATTTTCAAAGGGATCCGCACAAACGTGCTCTTGTAAGAAAGTAATTTGCCCATTTAAATTTGGCAATGGCTGATGTACCTTGGTTCCTTTCTGTTAAACGCGGTCCATATTAAGATAGTGTATTATCTTCAGGAAATACACTGAAAATCAACCAATTTTTGTGTTCTTTATTTTAGGAATGATGCTGAGCGGCAACGAAGTGAGTCAAATTTTGCTGTCCCTCTTCCTGACATACGTGGGTGGTCAGAAAAACAGGCCGCTATGGGTGGCTTGGGGGGTAGCTTGTTCGGCCGTTTCCTGCTTCATCATCATCCTCCCCCATGTGCTTTACGGGGCCGGCAAGGATGCCTTGGCACTCACTCACGAGTACATGGACGAGTCTAAATTCCACAATTACACTGAGAGTAAGTCCATTCGTTTCGCGGTATGTGTCTTTATTATGCATTTGATTAAAATTTTCACCAGGAGGAGACATTACCCAAATACCCACTCTAGAATGCCTGAGTAAAATTTCAGAAAATGTGCGCGGGCAATCAAGTGTCAGGTAGTAAATCACTTAGTATATCGATGGTGAAAGTGCAGAAGTGCGTATCTCTATTTTTGACAGTTTTGAGTTAGCTGCCTAAACGTGTAGTTGAGGATGTCGTCTATCAGTCAGCAAGAGATTATAATCGAAAAAATCGGGAAGTCACCTAAAACCGTAGAACTTTTTTCGCGTATCTCGGGCTTAAGTGCAGGAATGCGTATCTCGTTCAGGCCTGTGAGGGCGCGTTCAAGCCCTGTCAACACTACTAGCAAAAGTTCACGAAACTTTGCGCGAAAGTTAAGTTCCGTAAACCTATCTCTGTGTGGACAAGGCCTTCCATTCATAAGAAATGAACGAAAAAATTACGAAAGAACAAACATAAATGTGGTTCAATGATTTTAACATCCGCCGCCGCGCCGCGCAGACCGCACCGTGCTGGACGCAATGCGTGAAGTATTCACGCACTCTCGTAGGCGCTATGCCTATGCGTTTCACGCTCAGTTCACGCTGACCGCACTGTGTTTGGCGCAATGCGTGAAGTATTCATGCAGTCTTGTAGGCGATATCCGTTTCACGCTGACCGCAATGACCGCACTGTGTTTGATGCAATGCGTGAAGTATTCGTGCAGTCTTGTAGGCGCTAATATGTGTTACGTGCCGATCGCCGCGCCGAAGGCTTCTCCTTTTCATCTCACGTCCTCGTTGTCATTTCTCTCTAAGTTGTGCCGTTCTAGGCCAAATTGCGTGTTTGGTTTCTCTCGTAACTCGACTTATTGAGGGTGCTGTCTCTTGTATCACTAATTGTAAGAGGCGACAAAATTAGAAATTACTATACTCTCAGGAGATTTTGTCGCCTTTTCTCGTTTGCAATTTTGTTTTTATAAATCCGATTTTTTATATACCTACACTTTAAAAAATTGCAAATTTTTGCCGCCATGGGCCGCGGCCCGTGCGGCTACCCCCTTAATCCGGCCCTGGCTAAGGAAACATGCCGTACGTGAACATTCGAGAATTACCAAACTCTGTATAATAGATGTATTTTCGAGGAAAGCTATTCATATTTTTCCATATAATTTTCAGATGTTTAAGATCAAATTGCGGAAAAAGTTGTCCGACAACTTTGAAGAAAAATATTAAAAATATCCCCAGTAAAATTGTTTTTTTTTCGAAGACAGTCTGGCAACGTCTAAAGGCTCATACGGCGTTCTTCCATAGTACGGCCGAAGAGTTATGTCAAGACCTTAAATATATTCGTGAGATTTTGTTTCCATATTTGCTGCATTGCTAGAACCCCCTTTTGTACGTGAAAACTGACATTTTCTTACGTATGTTCACCTCAACTACCGAGGCTTTATAAGAAATTTCGCCGTTCTGCACCGATTATTGCGTGACGTTCGCTGAGTTTCCGACTCCCGCTTCTGTGACGCACCCCATAGAGAAAAAAATAGGAGAGGCGTTTGCATTTCGAGCATCTTGGACTGTTTTTATGACAGGTCGATACGGACGATTTTAACCATCGATTTTCTTGGAAATAGAGTAGTTTATGGAAAAAAGTGATTCTACATTAAGTATTAGAAATTATATCATGAGTTGATCTGAGCAAAAAAAATCGGACGTTATGGTGCGTTCTTCATACTTCGAAATCCAGATTTTGTTGGAATATCGACGCCTCCAGAAGGCGGTGTTCGCATCTTGAGGATTTTTTATCCCGTGACGTAGGTCGGTACAGCATGTCCAGCAAAATCTGGAATTCCTAGTACGAAAAACGGACCATAAAGTCCGATTTTTTTGCTTAAATCAACTAGTGATATAGTTACAAACACTTTATATAGAATAACTTTTTTCCATAAACTACACCATTTCCAAGAAAATCGATGATAATCGTCGTCCGTACCGACCCACGTCATCAAAAAAATCCAAGATGCCCGAAATGCAAACCCTCCTTCTTCCTCTCGATGGCAATTAAATCCTTTTTTTTTGCCCTTCTCCTTGCCGCCGCCGCCGCCGCCCCCCCCCCCCCCCGGGCGCCTTGCATAATTTTTAGGCGGTCCCTATCACGTTTGGTGCATGAGATAGGTAGGTACAGGGCTCAAGCGGCGTGTTGTTCGTCCACGGAGGCCGTAGATCACAGAATCATAGAACCCGGTGATAATTGGTCAGCAGCCTTGCATCTGACCCGGCTCCTGGCGTCTGCGCCCACGGTCCGATGAGCACGACATGACATCCAGTGGCGTGGCGTGCTTTGCGAAATATCGATTGTTATGTCATTGAAACCTATGGAAAAGGATCGATAATCAGGGTGTTCGCAGCGAACACCTTGGTAATCGATTCTTTACCATAGGTTTAAATGGCAGAACAGCGATATATCGCAAAGCACGCCACGCCACTGATGACACCGCAACGTAACATCCAGCTAATTATTGGTGCTTCGCGAGTCGCTAATGCTAGGCTCGCGAGATCCTATCGTACGTTCCCGTGTTCCCGACTATCATCCTCCGAACCTCGATTCGGCGCGCTCTGCTGGACTGCCTTCGTAGGCCTTCTCTCCACGGGACGTTTTCATAGGATTTTCCCTAAGTTCGAACAATAGGAATTTTTTTATTTTCTTTAACCCAAGTAGCATTTTTCAATGTAAAAGTTGCGACAAGTTGAAACAATGTTGGTATTAGTTGCAACAAAGTTGCAACTTTCGGTCAACCTTTGGTCGATCAGTGCCGATTTTCGGCGATCTGATCGGAAGACAAAGTTGCAACCTGCTGAGATTGCAAAATTGCTGAACCAAAGTTGTTTAAAATCTAAAGATAGGCAACCAGCAATACTTTGAAGTTGAAACATACAATTAGTTGCAACTAGTTCCAACAATGATAGCTCCTTCGGGGAAGAGAGTAGGCAATCTGCACATCAATCTATTAGTTGCAAGAATCAAACGATTTTGTTGCAAGTTGTTGCAACCTCTGCTACTTGGGAAGGGATATCGTCCTCATGGGACGGGGCTCTCACGCTCCTACGAAAAGTTGGCGCGGGAAGATAAACTAGCGAAAATCGAGTATTAAATCGGGATTAAAAATAATTTAACACGATTAACGATTAGACAAATTATTATAACTAAACAAACACGAACAATCGAGTTAACAACAAAATATCGCACAATTCGCTTTCACTTCTTCTTCCTCTCTCGGTTGGTCTTAGGGGTGCAAGGACCGTGCTTCGTAATTGGAAAAAAATGGACGAACTCAATATTTTTCTCGACTTCGTGAGTGGGATTTTTCCCCGGAGCAAAGCCCGGCCCGTGGTGACAAGGCCAAAGAAAGAGTAAATAAACTGGATCCTAAAGATCTACTTGAATCTTTTTCTAGGTGGAGTAGGGTGGAGAGGACCTACTTGTAAATTCTAGAGTTTCTCAAATTTTAGTAAGACTGGTTGCATATGCATAATTTGCTCCCTGTATTGAAATTTTGTAGTAGTTCAGACAGACTGAATCGGTAGATTACCTATTGAGTTTCAGAGTGAATTGCGGGCCTGTTATATGTTTGAAAAAGACTAGAAATGTGGCCTGACAACCTGTCGGCAAAGATTTTGAAATTTTGGAATTGAAACTTTTTTTTTTTTTTTTTTTAAAGAAAAAGATTAATTCTAAATTCTCTCTAAATTATTGGCAAATCATAGTTAATTTACTTTTTTCTTTTGAAAGCTTTACAGGACAAAAAAGAGGAACCTAAGCTGTAGGTTTGAAAAGCCCTCTGACAGACTGCAGAAGATATAATTCTGATATATTTTATTTATTTTTATTTTTTCATTATTACGAAAAAGTTTCAAAAAGGTTACAAAAAAATTTCTAGCTAAAATAGAACTGGTAATATTACTGACAGGGCATCCTCGAAATAATATAGGGGTCACTAATTTTTCATAGGGGTCTGATTTCGGAAGGACAATCCTGCCTTTCATATGATTACTTTCAATTTTAACGTATTTTTTAAAGGTTCCTGATCAGGATACGAAAACGGTAATTACATCATCTCTATCAGGAAAAACTTCCTTGAAAAATCTGTTAAAAAACGAACAACTGTAAAAAGATACTGTTCAATAGATTTCGATTGGAGCATCCTTAAAAATGCAGTTTTTTATTTTTTCCTATTTATAAAATAATTTTCCTAACTTTCTTTTCAGAAGATTCTTTGGAGTTATGCTCCAACACGACAGCCCCTACTTGCAAGCAGTACACAACAAGTGACTTCTCCGCGGTTCCAACGGTTACAATATTCATTTCTCAGTTTATTTTAGGAATAGGAACTACCTTGTACTTCTCTCTTGGCCAAACATACATCGACGATAATACTGAGAAAACGAAAACGCCGATGGTTCTAGGTTAGTATGATGGTTTGGAGCCTATTGTAGTATCATGCCATGTCTGATTTCCGTATTTGGGTTTATGGGCCAATGATAGAAGTAAAACGACGTTCAGCTCGGAGAGCAAATAAAACGATTTTGAATGGGAAGACGAAAACTTCTCACTGAAGAATTTCGGAGATTAACAGTCACACTTGAAAACAGAGAATAAACGGTAAGGGAAGGGAGAGCAGAAACCGGTCTTGGCCGCTGCCCAATAAGAAAATATTTTCACAATATCGTGCATTTACTTAATAAAATATTTTAGATTTTCCCCCACGTGTGTGGATATTTTATTATTTAGTGCAACTACAGATAAGCCTTTCAACGATAGCACAATGTATATTGTCATTTTGGTGAAATATTTTATTTCAAATGGTAAGACCTTGATAAACGGTCATTGTGACGTTATGATATTTAGAAATGAGAGAAGGATCCTGATTGAGTAGAAATAAAAACACAGAGGTAAGGGAACACCACGAACAAGTGCACAAAGGAAAGAAAGTAGATTGTCTGGCTACATAATATGCGTCACAAGAAATCTGGAAGTCTAGAGCCGGCTCTTGGATTTTCTGGAGATTTACGAGAAGCATAGTTCACGGTACCATAAATCCAGTACTGGCTGCTAAATTTCCAGAGGAAAAATAGAGGAATTTTCCGAAAACAGGGTCCATATAAAAAAATCGCATTTTGGGAAAAATGTATATGAAGTTTTCATAATTACTTACAGGCTACTGATGGTGACTTCCATCGGAATTTTAAGTCCAAGCTCAAAAGTACGTCACCGCCAGTGGCCAGAAAGTAATTATGGAAACTTCAAATGCATTTTTCTCAAATGTTATTTTTCACGATGGGCTCTTTTCTCAAAAAGCTCCTCAATTGTGATTGTTGCTACTCAAGTGTTGACTTATTTGTCGTGAATTAATCTAACATAGTTTATTTATTTTTCCTCAGCTATCACACTGGCACTGCGCACAATCGGCCCAGTATTTGGGTTCCTAATTGGCTTCATCTGCAACAGAATGTATGTAGATCCAACGCTAACGCCACAAATCAGTGAAAAGGATCCTAGATGGATTGGTGCCTGGTGGTTAGGTATAAATATGTTTTAAGCGCAACTTCTGCTTCTTGTTAAAATGAAAAGGTTGCTAGGAATATAGCCACTATCCCCAGTAACCGTAACTGTTTAAAGGGTTATTCTCAAATATTCATAAAAAACCAGTCAGAAATTACGTTTTTGGAAACCCCTTTAGGATATTTGTTCAAGTAAAATTTTTCCTAGTGGTAATAATTGCCAATATGTATAGAAGTCTTTAAAAAAATAATACTGAAGCTACATATTCAAATTTTACCTCTTGCAAATTTTGCTTAAATAATAACTAGAAAGAATTCCAGAAACATAAAATTGGACAGATTTCATGAGAGGTCCCCCCCCCCTTTATTATCATTGATGAGTACACAGTTGATACTACTCAAAGGTACTTGGGATGTGAATCTAAAAATTGGTTCATTATATTTCATATAGTAAAAGCTCTATTACCAGAGAATACGGAATTTGAACGTTGGATGATGATTTGGGGAAGAAAGACAAGAACTAGTGCTCTCTGTAAAAAAGTTTAAAAATAAATGAGATGTACGTTTATGAAGGGTCGTTTGGAATATACGAGTTCAGTGATTCTGAAAACTACTTTTTTTTTATTTGTAGACATTTAATGTGTAACATGTTATCTCAAATTAATTTGAAATTTTGGGGCCATTTTTCTGGGTCAAAAGGTTTGGGAAACACATCCAGGGCAGTGGTGCCATCAGCTGAATTATGAGATTTTTGGTACTCAGGTCCCTTTTCCTGAAGACAATCATATTCAATGATTCATAGCTTGTCAAAAACTATGACCGGTGGATCATTAAGTACATTTGCCCATTGTTTCTACCTATGAGTATTACTTTGGGAGATGTTGACATGAGCAGTAATTCTCTAAAAGATCTTACATCTCTCTCTCTCTCTCTCTTTCTTCTTTTTTTTTAAAATAAGTACCTAAAATTCTCATAGGCATCTTTCATTTGTTAAAAGCTTTCAAATTATTGAGGGTCACTCTAGTAATAAAGACCAACTTTGACACACAGAATTAGCTCATCATAGGATTTTGCAATTACGTCAATAGTTTCAGACTATTGTCACACACTTTCCAATACCTAATGCGCCTTCAGATTTGAATTATTTTTGATGGTGGATAATGAACAATAATTTGTATGTCTTTTCCTACAGGGTGGATTCTTCTAGGAGTGGCTCAATTTTTATTTGCATTCATATTGGCAATGTTTCCAAAAACTATGCCTCGAAAAAGCAAAGGACAGCTAGAAGACAACCTAATGGTGGCCATTAATGGCATGAACACTATGACGAAAACCAAAGAACTTGATGGAGATCAGAAAGGCGAGAAAATACAACTCGGTGGCCCTTCAAAGACGGTGGAGCTATCTTTCCAAGGTGATACATAATTAAATATTGGCATCTGGGTATAAGATTCTGCTAGGGAAAAGCTTTTCATGATGATGATTAGTATTAATTTTTTCAGCCACCTCGAGACAAGTAAAATTTGGCGAACCTTTTCTTCAGACTGATGTTACTTAGAAGGGAGGCTTAAGTAATTATAGGTTTTAGGGGACTATTTTTAGGGTTAGCACTAAAGTAGGAGTGAAACACTAGGGCAAACACTAAAAAATCCAGGTGAGGAAAAAACGTAATTTAACAGAAAGCTACTAATTAAAAATGAGCAAAAACGGTGGCGTTGAGAGTCAAGTAGTTCTCATTATCACGTCTTGCAACTTTTCTCTAGGGAGTCCATACGATTTATTCAAGATACATATTTGTGCGATTATCTCAGAGATCTCTAGATGTCCTTTTAAAAAATAAGCTGTTGTGCCAACGGTGCAGTTTTAAATAGATAAGTAAGTATAGATTACACTTACTTATAGTAAAATACTCATATTTGTAAGTATTTTCCCTTTATCTCTTTATCCTGTTATCCGTTTTCCCTTTGATTATCGATTGAACATCCAATACATGTTGGGCTGCTCCCACTGGAAAAGTATTTTTTTGTGCAGTGCACGGATATTCAAAAACAACCAAAAGAAGTATGCATGAGAAGACAACTTGTCTTCTACCAAAGCAATGGGCAGCATTTCAGTCTTCGTACTTTTACTCTTGAAATTTTATATTTTATTTTTACCCATCAAATTTTCAATGAGTACTACATTTTGATTTTGTTACAGATTTTCTTAAAGCTTTCAAAAGAATAGTGACCAACAAAATTTTGATTGTGAACACGTGGTCGGGGATTCTTTATATTATAGGAGCCTCAGGGTTTATCACCTATATGGTGAAGTATTTAGAAGTTCAATTCCAAAAATCAGCAGCAGAGAGCAGTAAAGTAACAGGTTAGTGTCTTTTCATCGTTTTACTGCAACTTAAAATGACAGGAAAATATTGAGTATTGAAAACATCTACGAGGCAACAGTGCGGCTCTTTCCTTTCCTCTTAAGAGACAATGATTACACAATAAATTAAGAGCAATAAATATGATGGGGGAAAAGAATATTCTTGTGAATTGAATAGATATGAAATATGTCGAGAGTACCTACAGAGCAATCAAATCTAACCTCTAGCGGACCTTCATATATGGATATGTGCCTGTCGGATTTTTCAAGCAGTCTGCAAAACATTTTGAGATTGTTGCATTTATAAATACGTATTAGATGCTAAATACTAGACAAGTTGTAGTTGTATTATATACAGGGTTATTCAAAAGTCACGCACCACTGGCCATAACTTTGGTTCTAATCATGATATCGACTTGCGGTTTAAGACGTTTTTTCTCATATCAAGGGGGAAACTTTTTAGGTACATCCCAGTTTTTTATCCCCTCAGGGAAAGGAAGTGGGGGAGCAACTAAAAAATTTCAAATGGCTACCCCCCTTATGGTCAGTGGTGCGTGACTTTTGAATAACCCTGTATTTCCCAGCGACGTGAGATAGCAGGGGGTGAGGGGCGGGGGTGCTTGCAGGATCGTCAACTGAGTATGATGAGCAGCAGTTGTTTGTAGTTGGGGAGAGTTAAGTTACAGATTTGTCTCCCAAATCAAATTTTAAAATAAGATAATACAAACAGGCCGATCACTTTTTATGCCTTACATAGCCCCTGATCTGGATGATGGTGCAAAAGTTCAGAAGCTAGTAGAATTTCACTTCCCAGTTCTGGCTTTGGTAAACGATTTTACAAAAATTAAACTTCTTGTTTATGGTGCGGCTATGAGAACATACATGTAAGGTATCCTCTTAATTACCGTACTAAAAGCAAGGACTTGAAAAGTGATCCTTACTTTGTTTGTATCTTTGAATTAGGTCCCATGGCGATTTTGGCGATGTGTCTTGGTTACTTATCAGCTGGATTTGTCATCTCAAAATACAAACCGAAAGCCTTCAATTTGCTGATGTGGAATGTGATCGGAGGAATTACTTTTGTTGCGGGCCAAATGATAATACTCAACTTAAGTTGCTCAGAACAGCCTTTAGTTGGATATAATCCCGTACTCAACAGGTAACCATGGGTGCAGAAAGTTCCTATTCTTCCCATTTATATAATTTGTCTTCCCTAAAATTTGATGCTTCGCTTTTGACGTAAGTAACTTGCTGCGCTTGAAGTCAACCTTGCCATAGTAGAGACAATTGTTGAAACAAAAAGATTTATTTTCAAACATGATGCGCAGGGGCGCAGCATGAGGTCTGGAATCTTCTTCCTCCCTCTATGTCTGAAAAATTTTCCGACAGAAACGTCAGCTCTTATACTTTTTAGGAATTTGTAATGGTTGGTCCCCTTCCCCATGAGAAATTTTTGACCCTGAACAGCCCCTCCACCCCTTAAAAAAAGTCTGATTATGCAACTGATAATACATATTTTTGATTCTAAAACTAGTAAAAGTGATTTACCGAGCATATTAAGAAATAGAGATTAAGCAATGGGTTATAATTAGGATGAAGGGAATATTACATCAACAAGTGGAATTGTAAATGGCCTAAAAACATTCCTCCAGGTATTATTGCCTTCCAACGAGCGATATGGTTAGATGTGATCAAATAAGTGAAGTGCTTATACTTTAACAGTACCAGTTCTATCACAAAATTCAACATACGACAAATTCAACTACAGGACACCTCAAAAGTCTCAAACCTACAGATTTCAGCGGTCTTAAACGATGATATTGTGTATCAAAAAGGTCAGATAATTTCAGCATTTCCTGAATAACTGATAGATTTCCACAGTGCCCTATACCCGACGCACTTTTGACCTAAAAGTGCAATTTGCTAGTCAAGTGAAGATACTAATCTTTTTGTTGCAGAGTAGATTTAACGAGCAACTGTAACAGAGAATGCGGCTGCATGAACCTAAAATACAGTCCTGTGTGCCATCAGCGGTCAGATCAGACATTTTATTCAGCCTGTCATGCAGGGTGTACGAAATCGTTCAAGAGTGCCAATTCGCAGCCCGTAAGTTTTCATTTTACAAGAAGGTGGATTAGAATAATTCAAATTTCAACCTTCATAAAGCTGAAAATTTACGTTGAATCGACAATCTTTTCTAAACCTAAAAAAGAGTTCAGTCATGACATCATTTAAGATAGTTTGCAACATAAGAGACTACATTTAAATTGTTCCTAATTTCATTTTTCAGGAATACGGAAACTGTTCTTGTCCATTTGCAATGACGACAGGAGAGAGATTCAATAATGAGAATTTTAAAAACGAGTTGACTGATAATGGTCCTTCTACGCATACTTGGACCAAATTTCAATATAAAACTGATGGAGACAACTTTCCGCAAGACACACTAAAATCAGGGCCTTGTCCAGCAGATTGCGGCTATAATTTTGTGGCATTCTTAGCTGTTACAAGTGTGATGCATTTCATAACATCCTCTGGAAAAATTGGAAATATTTTGATCAACTACCGGTATGTACCTATCAAAATCAATGAAATAAACCATACCCAAGTATTTTAAATTTGGCAAAGATATACAATATGAGCATGTCTGAAATTTTCAAGTGTTATTTTTTTTATGAGATACCTTTCCGGTATTCATTTTAGAAAGTTGATAATCTTTTCGAGAGAAGAAATAGTTGGTAAAATTTTCATAATTTCAGGAAAAGTTATCGAATAATGACAGAAAATGACACATCACAATCCTTCAATAACAAAAACAGTGTCACAAAACCGTTCTCTGCGAATATAATTTCTCCCTCTTCATCCAAGGTTCTAAATAATTTGGATGGATTCTTTGAGGATTTTTTTCTCACGGCGTACAAAAAAAAAAGAAAGAAAGAAAGATATTAACTTTTAAAGTATTATTTTTGACCCTTTCAGAATAGAATGGAACTACATATACAAGTAGAAGTAAGTAGCATATTCAGTTAATAAATACTGGATCAGTGGCGCACTCTACATGAAAGGTATACTTTGAGAGATAAAAACCACCGTTTTCAATTTTTCAGAGCTGTTTCGGTGGAGGACAAAACATTCTCACAAGGACTTTCACTTCTAATGCTCAGCTTGTTTGCTTTCATTCCGGGTCCCATTTTATTTGGACACATTATAGGTAAAATTTTCTTTGAATTCACAAAATGTTATAAATTTTTCTTCCCTGTTAGAGACAGGATTGGAAATTTCCAGGTAAATCATAAAACTTAGAAGCACAACTATCAGCTTCAAAAACTAAGAGGCAGTCATTTCTATTTAAATCTTCAAAACCTTGTAAAATTTTATGAAAATAAAACTTATAAAATCGCAGAAATCCTATCTAGGTTCATTCATTCAAGCAGAGGTAAGAACATTACCTGCTTTATTAGACCAAGGCCCAAATGACCATTTTCAGCAAGAACAGGAAAGACTAGTTTATGCATCGATACTATCAAATAAGCAACCCCTCCGGAGAGGGCATTTATGCTGTGGGATCCATGCCTGGTCCACTCAGCCTTTTTAGAATTTATGAGGCTGTCTGCAATTCAAAACAAGCGGGAAAGTTCTAATACTGTCGTATTAGAAAAGCGCTCAGGTGTTAGTAAATGTATTTAGTGAAGAAAGGAAGTATAAACTCCGTCGACTTGGCTGGGTAATGGAAATAAAACATCGGCTGATAGCAAACAAAGGTTACCAAGGAAACCGTAAACGCGTTTTTTCGTTTCCCGAAAATGATAGTCACCGTTGAGCTCATCAGGCGCGTTTTTTTTAGGCTTCATTTGAGTTCAACGATCAATTTTGATAAGAATTACTCTACCGCTAAGAAATTTTCTTATAGACAAACGATCGAAACTACCTGCGCATTACGTTAAAAGCGTAAAATACGGTTTTCACAGCTTTATTTATTTTAAAACTGGACCCCCCCAAAAAGCCTACACATCGATGAGCTGGTGCGCCATTTAAACGAATTAGCAATAGTGTACTAGTACTCTAGAGGCAAGTCGAAATCAAAAAGCGCTGCCTATCGGCTGAGCGCTTAAAATGATGAGAGTTACACATGCTTATATGGCTAGAAATTATTGAGTATATAATTTCATTCAATCGCATAACCATGAACTTCACTAAATTACACAGTTGAACTTGTTCCTTCAGTTTTGAAATCAATTTGATGCACTCAATTCAAAGAAATCTTTCCAACATACCTCTGGTGTGGCACAATTGACAACAAGTGCAGAAGGCAATAACCGTCAAACATCGGCAATGGTCCTCTCCTTTTCATAGACACCCCAATGTTCTAGCTTCATTTGGTCTTCATGGAGCCCAGTTATCATTATCTCCTCAAGAGGGTAGGTGCTCTAGGTAATTAACAAACAATAAAAATTAATTGAAGGGAAATGGATAGGCAAAAATGTAAATTTTGGTGAGTGATGAGTAAAATATTTAGCTTTTGATATAATTTTTGTAAATAATACTTTTTTTACATGTTTCAGACACCACTTGTATAATTTGGGATGAATCTTGCGGAGGCAAAGGAAATTGTTGGCTCTACAATAAAGATGAATTTAGGAGGAAACTCAATTTAACAGCTATAGGTAAGGAGAAATAAGCAACAAGATACCTAATATTAATTTTTGAAGTATAGCAGAGTAGTGTGAGAAATGTTGGAGTGATTACTCGTTTTATATACTTAATGGGAAATATTTAATATTTAAATATTGCTAGATTCTACATTACGATTTCTTAATGCAAGTTCAAAGGTGAAACCAGGAAAAATCATTTCCATTTACCACCCACTATTTTTACGGTAAAACTTGAGGTGGGCTTTTCTTCTCAGACTGATTTTTTGATCATGTCACGAGGCACAACTTAAGTTGTAATTATCAAAGACTACATTGCTGAACGTTAATTTCCTCTAGAACAAGTGAAGACTTGTAGAGAGACGAATTCCACTTTCTTATAAACGAGTTGATCTTAAAAATTACAACTTGTATCGTTCTGATTAATTGGACTGAGTTAAGCAGAAAGGAACCAACCCACATTTTGGAAAAAATTGAGTTATGAGTGGTTCTGAACTCAACCACTGCTCTACTATCTATCGCCAAAAATTAAAAGTTTTTGTTGGAGCAAATTTTGCAGGAATTGCACTTTAAGTTTAACTTTTACATTGAGTCTTATGCAGGAGCTAAACTTTAAGCCTGTTTTTCTCGGTTCGATCCCGATGTGGCTTGGTTCCTTTCTGTTTAACTCCGTCCAATTAAGCATTAATTCGTCTCTTTTCCAGTGTTTATTGCAGGAGGAACTATTCTAGATGCTTGGGTGTGTTATTTGGGCAAAGATATAGATCTTTATGGTGAAAAAGACTCAGCGCATCCAGTGGAGAACAATACAGAAAAGTTAGAAGAGAAATCAGAGTCTTAGAATCACTTGTACTTCTTGACGAATGGACATCGGCATGGAGGTGTTTCATGGGGATAGAGATGATCCCCAAGAGATATTTTTGTATTTTGAAGGGGACCGGTCATTTACGTACGTAACCAGATCCTGCAGAAGACCTTCTGTAATTATTACACGAACATCTAACCTGATTCCTCTGGTTGAAGATTATTGGTCCTACTGTAAGGGAAATAAGGGTGAAAAACGGTTGCCGTTGTAATCTACCTGACTATCTTCTTTTCATGCTTTTTAGATTCTTCATCGGCATGGTGAGAATGGGAAACAGAGAGGAGGAAGAGAGAGATAGAGGAGAGAAAGACACACACATACACACATGCACCAATAGATCACTGATTTCAGTAATTTTCCTATAAGTTTGAAGGCTCTTTTCATAGACCCTTTTTTCTATTCAGCTTCTCGAGGAACCTCAATAAAATTTTAAACTTCTCTCTCTTTGAAAGATGAGTTCCCAAATACCTGGTATTTCTTGGTTTTTAAATGATGGCTTTTCACTTTCTTACTGGGTTAATTCTTGTTATCAAAATTACATAGGGTGGGGTGGGATGTTCTCGATCAACTATGATGACTTGATGTAAAGGTCAAAATGTAACCGATGTAAATTAAAATTTACTTCGATATTTTCTAAAAAATATCTATGCAAAATATTTAAAATGCGTACCATAAATATCAACACACAATGATTTTTTGTTGCGGAAGTTCCTGCATCGTGCCTTAGGTACATTTGTTTGTTATTTTCCTCCCTTCAAGGGAAGATCATATGGTATTACCTACCTCCTCATTCTGACTAAAGCAAGTAATGACACTTGAGATACTGAACAAAGTAAAAATATAAAATGAAACTGAAATACTAAAACATTCCTCAAAATTTTCTCAACTTTAAACCCTTTTGAATTCTCCTTACGCACAATAAAATCTCTTTGCTTAAGGCACTTTCGATGACATTTCAAGTAAGAAGCATTTGAAAATTGCTGCTTTTAAAGTTATTCTTTCTCAACCTTGTCTTTCAATTTTGAACTACTATGAATAGTTTCTGAAAATTACAATTTGATTTGAAGCAAGTTAAAATTTTGAAAGAACCGAGTATAAGGGAGATATCATTTTTTGTTTGTTTGTTTGTTTCATACCAGTTACTTTTTTAAATTGTGATAAAAACTTGATCTCCAAGTTTATGTAAATTAATGAGAGTGAAAACATTGATATTTTTTATTCTTTTTGTACCCAATTAATACTAATAAATACATTTTTGTTTCTAAAAATCAGATTTTATTGTTTAAAAAATACTAAGAACAAACAAATAATTTGCACCAAAGTGTCATTTAGAAAATATGCATACAAATAGTTTCTTCCTCTTTGTTATAGTATTGAGAACAAAACTTAGAATGAATGTAGAAAAGAAAAAGATTTTCAAAAATATTTGCTGTTCATGGCTAGAAAATGAGGAGTTCAATTTCAGTTGTGTCAAAGGATGGAGACCACATTTTTCATAAGTTCATAAAACTCTCATATTTGTACTTATACTTATGGCATGTTTCAATTTGTTTTTTGTAGACATTTAAATCAGGCTCTTCCCAGTGATAATTTTCTCCATCAAAATACCTGAATACGAAAAAATACAAATTACTGACGGAAAACTGAGATTGAAAAGAATAAAGTTAAAATTTATTCAAATTCCCCATGAAGCAACACAGCATATGGCTACATCGACCTTTTAACAGGTTCAGAATAAAAAACTCAACGGTTGCGGAAAGTAGGAAAATGAAGTTATCATGGGGCTTGACGTACAGATTCAAAAAGATGTTGTGCGGTTAATGATCAAGGCTGAGCATGAAGATGCAATATTTCATGATATTATATAAAATAAAATTTTATGATGGTTAAAACTTCATGTAATAAACCCGGAAGGCCAATGAAACGCCTACAAACAGGAAACAGGTCCATTTTGGATTTTGAAGAAAAAGAAGAAAACTGTAATGAGTCCAACTGCAGAGTTTCCTATTGAATCAACATTTTGTTACAGAATCATTCTCAGCTTCTGGACATATTATACAATTTGATAAAACTCTTTTAATACAAGGAAACTTTTTTACTGGTTTCATGTTGGTTTCTACATAGTTAGGTAATCAGCCTATAGAAAGCCACCTCCTGTAGAAACCAGGCAAAAAATTGCAGATGAAACTCTACACAGAACGGACAAATAACGAGCTAGCTGGGTAACTGACTGTAAGACCACGCTTTCTTCAAGTAAGAGCCGTAGTAGTTTTGGTTCAAATTTATGTACGATACGGTCATGATACAACTATGATTCTGTTAACGGGATACTTAGCTTGCGTCAAATTTAGTGCAAAACTCGTGCCGGTGAGAAATATATTGCATTTTACAACCTGGCTGTAATTGTTGATCATGATTTGATAATGTTGAAGAATAGGAATCTGTCTATTAAAAGGGGCTTCATCACTTTAAATGGGCCTGTTGCAAACTTTTGCAAGAGCAAAAATAAGAGTTTTTTCTATCAGTGAATGTCTCAAAAACCACAATGAGCGCATTGGCAAAGTTTAAAATGCAAACCTAACTTCATAATCTGCGTAAGAAATATGCACTTTTTTTCGCTTCCTGCTATAAAAACGATACTGCGACACAGGTGCACATTTCGTTAGAGGAGTCGTTCTATTCAACCTTTTTGCAGTGGCAGTACCCAACATAGCCGACGCTTCCGCGCGGAAATCGCCAGCAGGAGCACCAGGTCAACCAAAGCGGATCTTTATCAGCGAGAGGAAATCGTGAATATAAGTGCGTTGGGTGGTTAACAAATGGTTAGAATCTCGTCCAGGCACATGTGTTTTGGTGGATTGGTGTCGGCCATGTTGAATATTGTGTAGTATCCTAGTGCACAGGGGTTGGATAGAACGAAACCTCAAACAAAATGTTCACCTGTGCCGTAGTATTGTTTTTGAAGCGGGAAGCTCAAACAAACGCAAATTTCACATGCAGATTGTGAAGTTGGGAGTGCATTTCAAACTTTGCCAATGCGCTCATCGTGATTTTTGAGACATTGACTGATAGAAACAACTCTTATTTTTACTCTTGCAAAAGTTTGTAATATGCCCATTAGTAAGTGTCAACAGCTCAACCCGATCAACCCAATAGAGAATGACTGCTGCAAAAGATTACTAACAGGAGATAGTTATGATTATTGAGTTTAAAAGAAATCACAGCTCAGGCAAAGACACACTAAAAGCTTTGTAGAGAATCTACAAATAAGGATTCAACATGCTGAAATGATAATATACTACACCTTTGTTTGATACGATTTAAAACTTGTTTTTCCTCGTCAGATATATTGTTGAAGGCAGCATCAAGATTCAGTTTCAAAATTTTAGTTGATCCCATTCCAACTAGACAGGAACTAATGTATGATTTTTGCAGACAAAAATAAACTGCTAATTTTCCCAATTCAACGTTGTCTGCCTAGAGCATTGCAGAAGAAAAAAATAATCATTACACTAAATTTTATGCTTCACATTTTCTAATGATCGTAAAATGTTTGTATAATAAGTGTTATTCAGAAAAAGAAGGACAAAAACGACATAGGTACGTCTCATTGGATCGACGATTGCGTCAGTTTTTTATTGTCAAGAAAAATTTGGTTTAGTAATTTTTAATTTTTGAAAGGTAGAGAGGAATTTTCTAAAAAAAAATTAAATGATATTAACTTTAAAAAAAAAAACTTGAGTTAAAAATTTCTGTAAAAACACTGAAAAAGTTAGCACCTTGATCATAATGAAGTTTGTTACAACCCCAATACTTTGCATGATTTTCAAGCCTATAATTCACAACTATCAAAAACTAAATTAGTGATAACAAGATCCCCCTAATGAACTTAAAAAAAGGAGGTGAGGGCATGAATTACATTTGAATGAAATGAGAGGGAAGAGAAAATGCAAAAATTTACTCACCAAGGTCTCAGCAACAGCTTTACGACAAATTTCCTTTAGATGATCTGTTGCAGGATGCCATGTTTGCGGGCCAACAGTTGACAGAAGTCCCATACCTGTACAACTTGCATTAACAACGCCAATATTTTTGGACTAAAAACAAAATAACTTGAACAATGGTCTACTCTGCCAGATGTTTCACGGATGTAATTGAAGAACGATTTCATTCAAAGAACGGTTGCGAATATGAGATCAGATATTTCTCTTTTAAATAATGCTGAAATGTATTAGATCCATTACGCACTAGTTCAGTAGCAGGGCATATTATGTTTTTGCTTCTTATCATATTTATGGATAAGATATAAGACTAGATTTACCTATGTGTTTCAATACCGTATTAATTTTTACAAATCCGTTTTACATCTTGATTTTTCAAACAGCTATTATTGAACGACATTTGATGTAAATATGGTATTAATTGGAACATTTGATTCATCGCATGTCATAATCCTCCTTGAGTGGTTAAAATCAGACATACAGATATAAAACCTCTATTTTAGACAAAAGCAGCAAAAAAAAAAATGATATTGTTAAGATAAAAAATGGCTTGGTAAAAATGGGCTTAAATCGTGGAGGGTGATTAGAAAAATACCATTTTTCTCTATCCATGGATCTTACATGGATCTTCTTTACCCTCCTCATAGGGTGGGTTGCTGATAAATTTAGTAATTTTTGCTTTGCATAACTGCATTACAATTTCAAAATCGCCTAAAAGCGTCAAACTATGGCAAATGATCAAATTTTTAAACGCAAAAAAAATCTGATAACAGCGCATTGTACACGATTTTTTGTGCAGACATTCCAGATACAGCATGGAGGACTTTACACTCTCAAGAATGAAGATTCAGTTGCTTAAATCGATTTATGTATTATAACTAGTGAGCGGATTGTTGTCAGTATTTTCCAAATACCCGACACGTATTACTAAGAGTGCCGTTAAGAGTGCCTGTCAACAGGATTTAAACTACATTTTCATGCAAGTAAGAGGCAGACTTTAAATCAACTGCTTAGTAGATAGATTTTTTTTTGCTGAGGGACGAAACCTAAAACACAGAAATTCTCAGGAACTTATTGCGACCGTCTACGTACTTGGGTTACACCAGTAGAAACTCAGTATCTTTAAGAGGGTGCAACAAAGCAATAGCAGGTTCCTCAAGAGAGAAGTAATCATACTAGTCGGTTGTGCCAAGTATTTCATGTCCTCTTCTTTCCAGTAGTTCCAGTGCTTCACATTAAAATTTTACGTAAGTTGCTATTTCTTCCTCAACTTTACAAAACCTGTAAATAGGTTCAGTTTTCCAATCCATTGCTTAATATACCTTAAAACTTATGCATCTTTTTGGCAAATTCGTATTCCCATTTTTTGTGGGGAAAAATATAAAAATGGAGTTCAAAATTGTTAAAATTTTTGCTGGTTATGATTTTACAAACATTTACCCCTTAAATAATGGCAATATCGGTTGCTTAACAACATTTCTAAATTTAAGTGTGGCCAAATTTAAAAGTCCAGAGTGGGTGTCTTGTCAAGATAAGTTTTGAAATTTTGCAAAATTCTTGCAGCATTTTTAGTTGCCCATTCCTAGGCTTCTTTTTCTATTGTGAATGTGAGTACCGATCTGATATCGTATGACAATTTACATTATAAATCCTACAATAACCAAGACCGTGCACTGAAGCGTGTGTAGATAGTTCTAAACAGCTTTTTCCTGCAGATCAATGACTTTATGTGATTCAAAACCAGCTCTTGATCAAATATACAGTGAGTATGAAGTAAAAATGAGAATCAAACCAAACCTTGAAAAACGGCAGGTAGTCTTCTAGAGTGCTGTCAAATAAAGTATCTCGTGAGTACGAAAGAACGACATCAATCTGGTCTGAGATTTCACAGAGATTTTTCAGGATAGATACAGGGTAAGCTGATGCTCCAATGAACCGCAGTTTATTTTTCTCTTTCATTTTCAATAAAGCTGGGATCGTTTCTGATATGATGTAATCCAAACTTGGAGCAAATTCAATATCGTGTATCTAGATTGAAAAATAAAATGTAAGAATGAATAAAGAGGCAGAGAAATTCAATAGCATGAGTTCAAAAGGATCCGTGCCTAAGAGTAATGCACTGTCATTGCAGTTAGACATATTTTAAATTACTCACATTACACAATTTTCCCAATAAAACAATAATACATCAGTTCTGAAATTTCTATCATCAATCTGGTTGGTTCACTCAAATTGTAATGAGGATTGAAGATGTTGTTATGTTGAGGATTTTGCTAAGATGCTTTTTTAGTACTTAGTGTATTTCATAGGCTGCACTCAAGTTTCAGTATGGATTTGTAAGATATGGGACAATAGTTCAATAAGAAAAATTAAACCAGACACGAACTGAGAAAAGTAAACGTAAGTGATTTCTTCAGTTCAGGACATTCAACTCAAACTTCAACACTTTGAATGAGAGTTGTAAGGAATACAACAATGAATTTATGAATATATTGTTCTTGCCGAATACTTAGCATGGGAAAGAAAGATTATTATAAAGAAAGAAACATTCGAAGGAGGATACATGTTTTAGAAATTCAAAAGAATCTACTTCAAAATTTAACTGAGAGAGCTACTCACGTAAACGATGTCAACACAGCTCAAACCTAGCAGACTGAGACTTTTCTCCAGACTTGCCACCACAGATTTAGCCGAAAAATCAAAATAATTATCGTAGTGACCTACTTTAGTAGATATGTAGAAGGCCTTTCTAGGAACTTCCTTCAGTACCTATAAATATAATAACAAGTTCAATAACACATAACACATTCAATCTTTCATATCAAGTATCAATGCACAGCAGTTGCAACAGTTTCTAGATACATTAACATCTCAGGGAGAAATTTTTCCCTACTATAGTCTCATTACTGAAAAAGTAGTTAGTAGTAAAGCTGCAGGGTCCAATGGTAAATGAGCACATAAATAGGTCATATATAAATAAAGAGTAAAAATAAAATAAAATATGAAGGATAAATAAATATAAAAGGTGTGAAACGAATATACCGCAGTTTTCTACTGATGCTTTTTGGAAAACACATGTACCCTGAAAGGCCTCTTGAGAGTTTGATCTAAAGAATATAATTACTATTCCAGACAAGTGCATTTCATGGAGTACATAGAGTCGTAATGTACAAGGGAGAGCTGGTGCCACTTTTGAGCAGTTTCCAGGTTCCAAATTCCGTGACTCCTGTATCATGCCGGGTCACTGTTTTGATACTTAATCGATTGTTTTCGATACACGGGTACCCAGCCGGCAATAGGCAATCCAATATAAATACAGAGGTTATGAATTATACATCGCCATTTAGGATCAAAAATGTATCAGAAAGGTGACCGAATCTTGGCGCCTGGCGTACACCGGGCTCGGGATTCGTCATCTAGGACATGGCCCCAGCTCACTTTATGATATTACATCTCTATGTACTCTTGGTGCATTTCTACTAATTTTGTTGAAAATATTTAACATACCACTAACACAAAAAGCAGGGTTACCATAAATTCATCTTCTTCAAATTCCCAGACTTTAATTAACTGTTTTTGTTTTTTCCTGACTCCAAAATGTTTGGATTCCCTAACTTTTCCTGACATTTGAATATTCCTTTTTGATTTTTTCCCCTTTAAACTACACTTCCTTCTGATAAAAGCACCTCACAAAATTCCCTAAATTCGCTCAGTCGCTGCAAATTCCCTGACTTTCCCTCATCTTCCCGATTTTCCAGATCGCCAGCAACCCTGAGAGTGGCACTACTTTAGGAAAATATGTGATTCTCCAAAATTCAAAAGCAAACACCTAGCAGGATGATGACTAGAAAAAAGATGAAACTCTCATCTTGAATTAAAGAAATTTGAAAAACAAATGGAAGAGAGAATCAAAACAGTTGAACATACTTTACCAAAAAATTTTTCTGAGCGTCCGAGACCATAGTGGGGGGCAGTATCCAAATAATTGATGCCTAGTTTTAATGCTGATAATATAATTTCTGTTCCTTCAGTTTCGGCAGAGGCTCTGAAAAAAGACGTACATTTAATTTATGATAATTTTAGGGGACGATTAAAAAATCCCTATTAACAAGTACATAGGGGTAAGGATCTCGCATAAGCCCAAAAATATGAAGAAAGGATGATCTTACCTACAATACTGGAATAATACTTTATTTCCAGAAAATTTTCACTGTAGTAAAAAAACAAAAAAATAATGATATAGACCTGCATAAGGATAACCACATTAAAGATTTGAAGTTAATGTTTGACTAATGTATAGGCGGTGAAGCCGCAAAAACTAGTACTTTGATTGCAGAGTTTTAAAATTTCTTCTCATATTTTTTTTCTTCTTTTAGATCTTTTTCTGCAAATTTACTTTTGCATGAAATCATCAGAAAATAACCCCCCCCCCCTCGATATCTGTTTGGCCATTGAGTGGTTTTATCTGTAGCCTCTCAGAACATCAGTAAATTAGGAGAAGACCATGGAAAACATCATATTATAACTGGAAGGACAAGGTTAAGGGATTTTCTCAGACCACCTTTCAAGCTTCCATAGAGAGGTTTCTTCATACCAATAGTCTTCTAAGCTCCTTACTTCTTATAAAGCTGGAGCAGTTTCCTTTGATTCTTCTTGTAATGAAAATATCTTAGAGGTGTTGTCAGATAGGTTGGCATTTGTTTATTTTAGGTTTGCAAGCACAGACGACAAATCGTCACCTTCCAGGCAAAGTATCACAAGCGCCATGCGACGTTTAAAAATTTCCGCCGCCATTTTATTTTTTTACTGAGAAATTGTTGGTTGAATCTGTTCGAAAATTTCACTAAATTTTATCGGCAGCACAAAGAAAATTCAGTGTAATTTTCGGACAGCTTCGTTGAACAATTTCTCTGTAGAAAAATATAAAGGCAGCGGAAATTTTTAAACATCGCATGGCGCTTGTGATACTTTGCCTGGAAGGTGACGAAATATTAAGGCCTCTGCACAAACCATCGTTCGCTACTATCCACCTTACAACTGTCTCATGATCATATTGTAAAAAAACCACTTATCAGTCATGATCTGCGACTTTTATATGGTTGTGATTTCTGTGTGGCTAGGTTTCTGAATTTTTAATTAAAAAACTTAGCCAATTATTACAATTTAATTGAAGTGTTACAAAGTTTGAAAGTATTAAAAACCTTTCTGAGCTAGTGATCTTGCTTCTGCAAGAGTTGAGTGTTATCATGTGAATAGTAATGGCATGATAACGCTTGCAAACTGAGAGTAAACAAATGCCAACTTATCTAACAACACCTGTAGGAGGCACCTTCAAAAGAGATGGATTAATCTTAAAATTATATAAGCGCGGGTGTCCCTTTCCTCATGGATCCTGGGGACAGCCTTATCCTAGATGCATATTAAGGTAAAAAATGTAAAAAGGTATGATAAAATCAACTGAGGGTTTATCTTACGCACTCATATAGTCCTCCGAAAGGACCACCGCCAAGACTTAGTTTTGAGACTTGCAAATTGGTCCGACCCAGAGTTCTGTAGGACATTTTACGAACACTGCTTTCATCATGAAATTCTTGAGTAAATGTCTCGACGGACATGGTGGAATGAAGCCTCCCACGACACTGATAAATCGAAAACAGTCTTGTAAAAGAGTGAATAATAGTGGTTCATACAGGGAAGTCGTTGATGGAGGTTAGGAATTCACGGAATCTCCGACGATTTGTTCCTGCTTTTAGAAAAAGTTCTCCCTCTGGGACGGTTCACAGTTCAAAGTTGAGACCACTTCGTTCTGACCTCTCGTAATGCGTAGTTAATTTTATAAAAAGTTCAAAAAGTAAGAAATGAAAAACGCAAGTTTTCAACGGCGGCAACAACCATACAAGTATCACAAGGCAATTGACAATCTCAAGGCACAAGATGATAATGATGATTAATAATATTACTAGATACTATAGAGACTTCAGAAAGTTTTAAATCTCTTGTTATCGTTGAACATAACGCTATCAATTGCACTTGAACTTGATTCACTTGATGCTTGAATCAAACCAAAAACAAACACGGCCGCGATTCGCGAATTCGCGGTTCCGGCTCATTTCCGGCTTTTCAAACAGTGCGATGCTGTCAAATTGAACGAAAGTTAGAGAAGATATAAGCTAATGTTGGTTCAACCTGGCATCTTAAATCTATGACGTACGAGTCAGATTTTTCGCAGCAGCCAGCCAATCAAAATCAAGTGCGAGCTGCTGGTTCTGTACAATACCTTCTCGACCATACCTGGTCACGCCCAGATTGAGGTTATGTCGTTAGTAAATCGATGAAATGCCTGTTTATCAATGGCAGTGTAATGGGAAATTGTGAGTTTTGACNAGTAAGCGGTGAAGACGTATGGTCCGCGGCACCCGGGCCCAGTGTGCGGCGGAGCGCCGTATCCGGGTGTCGCGGCCATTGTAGTTGGCGGCCGTTGTAGCTAAATTCATTCCAGTTGGTTCTGTCCGTCCATCCTGTTCTTTTACCACCATGTTTACTGGATTACACTAATTCACTAAATTATCAATCCAATTTTCAAAACCATTTTCTGGGCTGTGCTAAGGCTACTTTAGTTTAATTTTATAAGAGAACTTTAGGTCATGGCCGTATGTGAATCTTTTTAAATAATCATAAGCGTGGCTAATCAAGGAAGAAAAAGGTATGTGTCTCAAATCAAGCATTCTGCAAAGTTTCTTCCTCATCATAACATTCTGGAAGGAGGACAAAGTTTTTATATAGCTGGCTGACTCTTTTCACTTATTTTTCTGTCGTGAACATCTAGACGCTTTGTAAAATAATGATTCACTAGGATAACCAGAAATATTATTAATACATGCATGCCTCACTACCAACTTTAGTATTGGCTTTTAACCTAACCTCAATATGTGGAGTAGTCTGATATCATTACTCTTAGAATTTTTATTCGAATTTTAGACATTATCAATCCTTCTTGGATGCTCCGCATTCAATTTAGTTTATCAATGAATGCCAGTCAAGTTTTTACTCTAATTTTTTCAACACACAGCATCATTTTCCCCAGATCATAACTTCGCAAGAGGACCCCCTAAGGAAGTAATTAGATAGCAGTAATGAGCTGTCAGGCCCTCCCTTGACCCAAACTACAGTTTTATTATTGGAGCCTATCACAAAGAAAGACAACCATAACTAAATAAAGTCAATTGGTTAACCAATCAAGTTATGCTAATCATAGGCTAATAGTTACAAGAAGACGCTTCCATGAAGTTACTAAGAATCATTGTACCCCCAACTCCTACGTTATTCATCAGCATGCTGCAACGGGTAGTAGGTATGTAGCTATCATCGGCCTCCGTAGCTTCGCAATTATTTAAACTTGTGGATGTAGGAAGCTGGATTCAAACCTCCTCTGAAGGGTCTGTTTGGTCAAGGAATCAATTTTTTAGGCTGTCAAATCACAAACATGTAAGATTGTGAGAGGCGAACCAGCACCTTCCTGACCAGACTGTTCAGAACATTCATTTAAGCAGTGCTGAAAGTAAATGTAAATTAGAAATTTAAGCTTGGGGATTAGATAATAATTCAGACTTAGTAGACGGTAAGTCATTTGCCTGGAGGGCTAGTCCTTCTCTAACCAGTTAATACATACCGAATGTAGTTTATCATTGAGTTCGTTTTCTAATTTTTTCACCGCATCATTAAATTTTTAACTGAGAGGCAAAGTGAGCCTCGAGTTAGGTTCAGAAATCACAATCTCTACTCACCAATTTCTTTGTCTTGTTCGCCTTTGCTTACTAGTTAAAAATTTGGGTGGGTGGTCCCAACTGAGGTTTGATTTGTACGCGTGCGGTAAAAGGAGTTTGGCCTTTTGAAAGTTAACACCATATCTGTGAAATTCATACTTGCAAGTTTGATGCACTTTTTGCGGAAGAGCAATAATTTTGGTGGAAAACAGGTCTCCAAGAAGTGTACTCAAAAAGGCCTTGAGGTCTTAAAATTAGTCATTGATCTTTGAAACAGGCTATTTCACACAATGGAGGAAGAATAAAATACTTTTATTAACAGATTTATGGCTAGACCTTAAAGGACATGCCTTAATACAGGCCAGGGAACAAATTTTGGTAATCTGATAAGGTAGAAAAAACTAAAAACATCAATACTTAGGTAACCTATTACCTATATACCCCTCCACTACATGCCCATCGTAAGTACATTTTTCTACCTCAATGAATTTTGTATGTATATACTCGTGGTATACTCACTTCATCTTTGTTGTCATTTTCAGAAAAATGAGCAGTTCCGAGGAAGTGTCATGGATTTCATGGTTCTGTGGGCTTCGTGGCAATGAGTTCTTTTGCGAGGTATGTATGGCTCAAAATTCCATGTCGCAGCAATCGTACTTTTTTAAAGTTTTGAAAACTTGTGACTTTCAGCTAAAGTATTCCTTTTAACTTGTTTAAATGCTCTAACAGACTTTATTTTCTCTACCATAAAGGGAACCTGAGATGAATAAATATAGAAAACACGAAAACTTACAGACACGTCAAGGGAAATTCCTTGTTTCAGTTATTTCAATTATTTGCATAATTGATAGAATGATTCCATGATCTCATGATGAAACTCCTGATTTTTTTCAATCAAAATCTCGTTTAAAAATTGTATTTCTCAAGTTGGAGCGAGTATATGAAGTACCTAAATTGCCCCACAAGTGCCGAAAATTCCAGCCCTCCACATTTTCATATGTGTGCATGGCATTTTATCAGATTTTTATTCAATGGCCCGCCGCAAAATGCCCTCCAATTTTCAAAGCGATGACCTTCGTCATCTAGCAATACAACAGTACAGCAAATCTTTGCTAGGACGGAAACAAAAGCGCGCAAAACTTTTCCCCCTTTCCACTTTTTCACGTGCCTGTTGAGTTGTATGATAACGCATTTTCTGCACTGCTCAATAGCCTCGACCATCCACTTTGTAAATCTCTCCCTTTGTCAAGTGATAGAACTGAGTCTATGATTTATGTAAGCCTAAATATATAAATACCTACCTTATATACAAATTTTGCATCTTTCAGGTGGAGGAGGACTATATTCAAGATAAGTTCAACTTAACTGGTTTAAATGAGCAAGTTCCTCACTATAGACAAGCACTGGACATGATCCTTGATTTAGAAGCAGGTTTGTGTTTTCCTCTTTTTGTTTTAAACTGTCCTTAGCCAATTTATGATCTATTATAATTTTGCATCAAGAGCAACCCACCAAAACACAGCATACGAAGGCTGTCTCAAAACAACTGCCCATCAACCTCATTCTTGAGAATTATAAAAAATATCAATGCTCTGGTTTGGAAATGGTTCAAGTACTGTTCATTAGCTTTAAAACAAGATCAAAATGAGCTCATTTGGTCAAGACTTGCTGGATCTATAGCAATTTTATGGAGGCATGTTGATTTTTAAGTTAATGTGTGTTGCTCATTAGACGGCAGCATCCCATGAACTTCATTAATTTTTTTCATTTTTCTCTTTGAGAAGCATTTCATCTAAAAAAAACCTTCACAAAATCCTGAACAGACCACTGTGATTTTTGCTTATTGCATCATTACTACATATATCCTTTTCAACAATCCTACAGTTTTCAACTGGCTTCACAAAGTTTAAGATTGTTTTATGTAGTGTCTCATTCTGTTATTATTCATTTTGAATTTATACTCAAAACATCATCAGATTAAAATTCTTTTCCATCTCTGTTTTTAGTAATTTCCTAACTCTGATTCTTTCTTTGATTTTCAGAAGATGAATTGGATGACAATCCAAATCAATCAGACTTAATAGAGCAAGCAGCAGAAATGCTGTATGGATTAATCCACGCAAGGTATATTTTAACAAATCGAGGAATAACAGTAATGATAGAGAAATATCAGTCTGGTGATTTTGGTCATTGTTCACGTGTTTTTTGTGAGAGCCAACCTATGCTCCCAATTGGTAAGTACATAGCCTCCTCCATTTTAAGGTAAATAAAATTTTAACAATCAGCAAGGCAATCCTGACCAAAAAAAAAGTGACAGTAAAAAAATATTAATGAATCACTGTAATAAAAAAGTGAAAAGTCATCAATCTTACCCTCTATGCATATGGATGGAAGACTTCTCTTGTGAGTAGCTGAAAAATATAACCCACATCTCCTCAGAACGATTTTGGAAGGCAAAGGTGTAAATTCAGGGCAGTGCTCCTGACTGATTACATAGAATGCCGCGTCTCCAGCTGAAGGATGTTTGGTTTTTTGTCCTCAATTCTCAACCCTCCCAAAGAGCATTTTCGGTGATAACAAGGTGTAAAACTAGAAATAGTTTAGAATTGAATGCACCCGCTGGAAAAATTATGCATTTCCCATAATACTGAAATGAATTCCTTGTAATTTCTCCCTTTTGAACAAGTGGAAAGAAAGCGAGCAACTTTTCTAATTCTGGAATAGGTAAGTAATATGATGTAAAATTGAAGGAAAATCACAGCTCTTTGCCTAGCGCACTTTACTGACATTATGAATTCTACCATCCATCGATATTTAGCTTGCGAATTTTCCGCGATATTAGGGTGCTAAATGTCAAATTTGTGGTCTTTTACGTTCTTTTTCATCCGCCGGAAAATCTGTGTTTGTGTCGCGATGTAAGGTGAAAACACTTATTTTGATTGATTTTACAAAAAAGTTGGCAAAATTGTGTATTTGTCGTGATAGTGCGGAGATTTTCGTGTAATTTCTCATTTTCTGTTCAAAATTGCAGAATTGAAGCTCTTGTTCTTGCCGAGAGTTTTCTCCTTCATCCAAAAAGAGTAATGCAAACGTTTACGTCAATTTAGGTCACTCAGGCTTTACAAGTTATAATCCGTAGGGAAAAGCAACTTGATGCATCATTAATAATTCTTAAGTTAGATCAGAATTTAAGTGTTCAAACTTTTTACAGTGGAATCTCAATAAATTGAAAATTCGGCTAGGTTGGGTATTTTCTGTCAATTTTACCGTGTAAACAATGTTATTTGGTTTTGATGTGGTAGGAATCTTTGATTTCGTTCAAATCATAAATTCTCTTACCTCAAGCAATCTTTGCGATCGCATCATCAAGTTTTTCCGTTTTTATTGAGACGAAATTGCAAAGCCATGGGCAATTGTTAGTCGTCATAAGTTTGACGATCGCATATGTGGTGTTTAGGCAGTCAGAAAAAGTATAGAATGGTGTATTGGCAGCACACGCATGGAGCTTCAGTCTTCCTCCCTTATGGACATTCTATTTTAAGAATGTACACAAACTGACTCCCAAGTATTGAACAAGGATTTTTCACTTTCTCTTAAGGCTGTCTAACATACCTTCTATGTTGGCATGCATGGATTTCACATCAAAAGAAATGAGATAAGGTCAGGTCAAGCTGGCCATTAAAGTCAGCAAAACATTGGAAGACATTTTCATTTGATGTTCTGAATTGCCCACGATCTTCGAGAAAATGTTGGATAAGAAGTTAGTGAAATGAATCAAAGAAGTGGTAGCACTAATACTAGGCCGTAGTGGTGGACCGCCTCCGTGCAGTTTAACCAAACCTTAAATGCGAGCTACCATTGCTCCACTTATATATAGTTATGTGTTCCATGATTTGTGCGGAAATGAAACTTTCCTTTAACCATAATTAATTTTACCAAGGTGCTCTTTTTTCCCATTTGTAATAATACTGGAGAACTTTATGTATGTTCACATGTCTTACGATCTTTATGGAAAGATGAAATTTTGTCCCTGTAGGCAGCCCTGTACATAACTCTTGTTTCGATTCAACTTTTTTGTATGTAAATGTTTGTTAAAAACTCTAGTGAGATATCGCTATCTCAAATTTGTGTTTTTTGGCTCTGAAGTCCCTTTCATGGAAGGCATTCCTTAGTTTGTCAGAATTCATATCTGAGCTCATTCATTGTTATGCTATTAACCTGCCTCTTCTTTTCTTTAAGGCTTGTCTGATATCCCCGGTGAAGCAATGGTCAAATTATACTGTCCTAAATGTATGGACGTTTATACACCTAAATCATCTCGCCATCACCACTCGGATGGAGCCTACTTTGGAACTGGTTTCCCTCATATGCTTTTCATGGTACACCCCGAATATAGACCCAAACGCCCAGTCAACCAATTTATTCCAAGGTATGTCCTCTCTCTTCTTTTTCCATCCAAATCTTATCTGCTGTAAAGCCCCGATATAACGATGATTTTTTTCGGTCTTGTCAAAATTCTCATTTTAAGAGTGTATATTTCTTTTAAAATAATATCGCCATAGTTAACTTTGGTTCGATTTAGCAACGATTTTGTCGGCCGATGATGGAAAGACATGCTTTTCGCAGAAAACTTGCATAATATTCCAGATTCAATCTCCTTACAGTCAAGAATGGAACAAGGAGCTGCTGCTTATATTATTCATGGTCCTCTGCCATGTACAAAAGGCACACAAGAAGATATGTATGACATGTCCTGCCATACTACTGCTGCCACCAATCAGATTTTCTGTCAGTGACTCTGCAAAACTGTCATGCTCTCTCAGTCTCCAACTCCCTCTCTGTGCTTGACAGAAGTAAAACTGCAGTGACTAAAACGATACTATTCCAAGATAAATTGAATAAGGCTTGATCCTCAAAATAACGGCCGGTGTATGCATGTTCTTTAAGTCGTCCGAAGAATTGTTATAGGGCTGATTCAGAAGTCTGTAAGAAGATGAAAATATTCCCAGAGGTCAAGAAGAAAAAACCAGCCTACTTGCTCGAGTTCCGCATATGCTCAAGCAATATTTATGAAGTATCATGAAAATTCAAAATGTTTTTTCGAATGAAATATAATTACGGGAACCTAAGTTTAATGAAGTTAAAATCACGGTAATTTGAATTTTTCTGGTCCTCAGGCTAATCGCCTTCTTTCATTATCAGATTTAGCAACTGTAAGCTGCATGACGCCCAAGCTTGGGAGCAGAAAAGCAAAGTTTTGACAAATTTGAGTGCACTTTTCTTAAAACTCAAAAATTCATTATCAGCTCGTTTACTGATAACTTTTTGTTTGTTTTACTTTCAATAATTTTACTAATGAAAGGATAAATCAGATTTATCGGGGTGGGTGTTACAATTGTAACCATCTAAGTGAAAAAGAGACTACAGTCAACGGAGAAAAATTTTCAGTGGAGCCGTGTTCAGTGTTAAAAATAGACAGTTCAAAATATGGAATTTTAGCATAAAACTCACTTCAATGTCATACAGAGTAAGCTGTCATTGATCTTGCTTGTATCTGTGCCATTAGAAGGCATATAGCTATTATCGCCCAAATTTTGGCCTTATTATGCCAAATTTATATTTTAAATAGTTTTTCTCAAAACTATGTTTCTTGAACTGTAATCTTTAAACTGCCGTGACTCAGGTTTTGTGTATTTTTCGGCCCAAAATTTTAATAAATTACCCCTCCATTTTCTGGTATCAATGACTCAGTTATGGTTTTTTGTGGATTGATGTCATTTTTTCTCGGTCACATATTTTGTTTTGCTGAGAAACTGTACATTGCTCATTATTTTTTTTCAGATTGTACGGCTTCAAAATTCATCCTCTAGCTTACCAACTGCAACAACAGGCTGCATCAAATTTCAAAGCACCAATGCGAGGTTCTGCATACAATAATGGCAAACGTTAATGACCATGATATTCCATTTTCCTCCCTCAATCACCACTCAACTGTTATCAAGAAGAGTATTAGTGTCTCAGTCTAGTTTTCTCAAGGATTTCATTTTTTCCAAGCCCCCCAAATGTGGGGCTCTGTGAAACCTCTCTCTTACTGAAAGTTTTCACACATACAATAAAGGAGAAGCATTTTATGAAGCATAACTGAAAGGAGTCTTTGGAAATTTTTTAGACTGACACACAATCATTTCAGTGTATCCTTGCTTTTTTTGTTACTCTCTCCAAAAAAATCTAACCATCCTTCTTACTGTTTTTTACATAAGTTTTTAATAAAAATCCAACTACTACAAAAGAAACTTCCTCTTAAGTTGATTGTTTTCTGTTTGCAACCACTTTCCTCGTGTTCACTGATGAGAATAGGTCTTGCTCCATTCTGAATTTTATAAACTTGCTATTTGTAAAAATTACACTCAAGTGCCACGATTTAAATTTAATGTCCTCAGTCTCACTTAATTGCATCGATAAGAAATTATCCACTCGGTCAGTGCATTCTATGCGGGAACAAAGCTCTCCGTTCTCATTTATTCACTCTTATTCTGGATTTCCAGTGTGCTTTTCTTTTTCATCCTTGTAGCCTCAAAAATAAATGCTGATTCTCATCCATCATTTTTCATCCGCCGGATGGAAAAAAGCCTAAGATTGATAGGGATATAATTGCCTTATATGGCCCAGTGCCATGATTCATAATTTTCTCTGAATTTTTCTAACTCATTTCTTCTTTCTTTTTTTCTGGGGCAAGATGAATTATTATTCAGCTAAACACAGAAAAAGAGGAGCATTTTTGCCCTTTTTTTGGTTCCTTTGAGTTCTTTTATTGCTAATCTCTTATCTATGTATTTTCATTTTTTATTCCCCTCCAAAAAAAAGAAGAAACAAAATAAATCAGCACTTTTAGTTACACCTTATTGTCTTGCATCTTGCTCATTTTTCTTCCTTTGCTCAAGATAGCTGATTTTTTTCTAATTAACCATCTTAAAATCCTACCAACTTTCACCTGCCGAATTATTTGCTAAAAGGTGTAAGAAGAAACATACACACTGAACGGTAAAACTAGATCCTCAATACGAAAAGTTTATGTAGTAACCGATTTCTCCTTCCATCTTCGTTTTAATTTTGAAAAAAGTTTCATGACCACACACACATGTATTTCAACTTTTGCCGACGATACTCTCTTTCCTTAAAGTAACGATTCAGGTTTTTTTGACAGAGGATGAGATAGGAGCCATGGCGTTAGTGCTGGTGCATTTTCTCTGACTTCCAGCATTACATGATTATATTAATTATTTGGAGTTAAGAAGTTGAATTTTTTGAAATTCTTCAGTCAAGATTTGGTTGAATCTGAATAAATTTTTGCTCTTCTGATACATATAAAATTGATGACATTTTTGACAAAAAGAACATGATTGTTTTTTTGAATAATTACAGCTCAGCAATGCTGCATGTATTTTGCTTTGCAGCTCTTTAGAACACAGTTACTGATTGTGAGTCTGTGAGGTATTATGATGTGCCTACACTATCTGGACTACATTTTGCAATTAGAAACTACAATTTCTGGCCCAGGCCAGAAACGACGTGTGCGTCATTAGATTCCCTATGCACATAAGTGACTTTACGAATGGGCCGAGAATTGTAGCTCCAAATTGCAAAATGCCGTCCATCTGACCTTCTTGCCACTGAGAATGGAGAGAAACGAGCCTTTGACCGAGCTTATGAGTAGCCTTTGAAAGAGAGTTGTACCTGTGGATAGGCAAATCATCTCGGGGGAAAAACTTTTCCTTTTGCTCTATTTTTTTTCTCATCCCCACCAGTCTCAATCAGACCGAGTTCAGCTGGAACGCCGCAAGTCCCTATTTTGAAAATTATTGAGTTATGAGTAATCCTGAATTGGACCACGTCTAGGCAAAAGGAACCAAGCCACATCAGCTATTGCCAAATTTAATTAGGCAATTTAATTTTTTACATGCAAACGGTTGTGCGGATTTTCGTGCAAATTTCAGTGGATTTTCTCCATAGTTCGAAGCAAATTGCTTAAAATTTTCCAAGGAATCCACACAAACGTTTTCTCGTACACCATTAAATTGCCTAGTTAAATTTGGCAATAGCTGATGTGGCTTGGATCCTTTCTGTTTAACGCGGTCCAATTTAATTAGTCGAAAATTTTCACCCTTCAAAAATTCAAAGTAAAGGAAAAAATATTCTGAACATGTAAATAGAAGTTGAACTTTGCCTTTAAGGATGAATCGTATGGATAAACAGAACTTCAAACCTACTTTTTTCACTCCAAACCTGATGCAACTTGGTGCATTACCGTTAAACCAGGCTCAATTTAAAACGGCTTCTTCACTGAATGAAGTAAGATTCCAAGCGAATTATATTTTGAAGAATGGAAGCTTATTCTTCCGAGTTTTAGGCTCAATTTGGCACTGTTTGTAAGCTTTAGGATAGATGAAGATATTATAGGATAAAACAATAGAAACTAAAACAATTAGAGCGTGAAATCCACTTCAAATTATGCGTTCACTCTTGCTTTGCTCTCTACTGCTCATCCTTCACATGCACAACGAGCAGACCAGCAGCTTGCTTGTTGAAATTTTGTTTGCGGACTGGACAAAACAGCTGTTTGACTGACTAGAAATGGGTTATGTGATTGGTCGATTCTGTAATGCATAAGTCGGTTGTAATTGGTGGAAAACTTTCTGAGACTTGAGACTTAATCTTATTGTTGGTTCCATCCAACATACGCAAGCTAGAAGGGACAACTGACAAAGCTGCTCAATCACACAACTCCATTACTCCTTAGTCTTGTCTGATCGACAGACACAAAATTTCAAAACCAAGCTGCTATAATTGAGCTGTGCGAGACAATGAAAAAATAAATTAGAACAGATCCTGTGTGGTTTTCTACTCCTCAGGAAATTCTGTATGATCCGTTATTGTGGACATGTAAGTGAACACATCTGAGTCCTTTCAATACATTAAGTGATAAGTAGAATATTTAAATTCAACTGGAAACTAACATTGGTGGCTGTCCTCAGGAAAAGGGATATTAGTGTAAAAAACACTAGATTAGGATACATTTTGCAACAAGAAACCTTCAATTCTGGCTCACTTTAAAGAAACTGCAAAAAAGGAGCTGGTCTTTTCACATGACTATGTCTTTTCATGGATGATTCAGAGAGGTTCCCAGGTGGAAAAAGTGGTCCAATTAGTTTCAGGAGGCTTTTGTTTCTTCAGTGAGAAGGAAGTTCGACTTGACCAAATGGAAAACACTGATACCTCACCTAAAGTTAAAATTGGAAACTTTTAGTGCGCCCATTGCTTGGTACTGGTAATTTTGATGAGAAAAAAATCTAGATGGTGAAATTCCTGAATGACATATCTGGGTTTGCGACATTTCAGACTTCCTATCATGATTAATTATTTAAATGGAAAACTACTGCAATGCTTCTTTTCCATGTACAGAAGATTCTGTGAAAACTTCAAGAGATGATGTTGATGTGTTTTCCTTTTGGGGCTTTCTTTCACATAAAATTTACGAGAGGTCAAAAAGTACAACAATTGGATTACATTTTGCATTATGGAACCACTATTTCTGGCCCATTTTAGAAACAACATACATGCCATTGGTTTCCCTATGCAGATATGTGCTTTTATGGGAGCGCCAGTGATAGTGGATAGTGGATAAATGTAATTCAACTGTTAAAAAAAATTTGCAAGAAAACTCTTTAAAGTAATACACTACTTATGTAACACTTTTTTTCACATAAATTTTACTTTAAAATTTTAAAGTATCACGTTTTTTTACAGAGTTTTTAACTCATTTTTTAATTAAATTTTGCTTCTCGTACATTTCAACTTTCAAGTGAAAAAATCCCAAAAAGGGTTTCCTTTTTCGTAAATTTGTATAGTTTTTTAAAGAGTTTTTCAAGTAGGGAAGTTTGATTTCGAAAAGGCCTACAAATGGGGTTTAGCAGGAGCAAGATAGAAAAAGTATATCCTAGAAAGGAACCTGAGGTCAATTTAACATCCCTTTGCTTGCTCTGATAAAAGCAACAATGGCTTCTGTTGAGTTCCATGATGCACAGTGAGGTATTCATATATTCAATGCAATCATGTTGAGTTCTTAAAAAAATCCTGGAGATGTATGAAAGTTAGAAACATCTTATAATTTCCAATTAAAAAAATTAAATTTAAACATAGACAGCATTGTTGACAAGAATTAAGAGAAATTAATTATTAAATCAAATATGGAGAATGAAACTTAAACTGAGGCCTAAAAATGTACAAAAATTGGAATTGTTCTTCTTGAACGCGATAAGACCATATAAGAGTAGAAATACCTGATAATCTCTGATTGAAAAACAAAATTTAAACATACAAAGCAATGTTGACATGAAGCAAGAAAAATCTTTGATCAAATAAAATACCAAATGAGGGACTTGGCATGAAGCTTAAAAATTGAAAAAAAAAAAAAAAAAAAAAAAAAAAAAAATAGAAATTTCACAGTGAAGTAACAAGAAAATTTAAGCGCAAGGAGAATACCCATATTTCAGTAGTAACATGGTACAGTCTTCGATTAACAACATACATATCATCACTTATTGACTGAATTGACACTTAGACAGAGCTGTAATAAGATAGAAAGTAGAAAATGAAAATTCAAATCAAAGTTAATTATTTCCACAGAGAAAAATTGAAAATGCAAAAATACCATCATGTATGTACTGAAAAATGAGCACGGTTAACTATTTGGTTCTAAAAAAACTTAGTGAACAAGTTTGCAAAATCATAGTTAGGTCTGCTACAGCTTTCTGAGTACGGGAGCAGGCTGGGCACTATTTTATTACTGATTTCATCTGGTAAAAACTCTTGACAGAAATAGTGGAACATGAAGTCAGAGTTGGTGATACGTAATTTCACCATTATATCTTGAATCTCTGAGATTATTTCGTCCTCCAATTCTGTATCCGACGTTTTCATGAGTTTTTTGCACTTTTCTTGCAAAAACTGAATGAATTTTTCAGCTACTCTTTTGGAATAGATACCATGCTCTGGGTAAAGCTTCTCCTCTAAGAATGAGTAGAGTCGATTGGTAACCCAGTACGCGGGTCTGGCAAGTTTAGGTGCAGCATATTTAGGGAAACCATCATCCCGATCCCTCAAGGTCCTGCCACAAGAAGCTTTATTGTTCTTTGGCGATGTTTTCTTTTGTTTCTGCATACACTTTGAAAGCAAAGATATGGAGTCATTTGACTTTGTCAAGCTGGTGGATGAAAATCTTTCCAACCGCTTGTTCACAGGATGCAATGGTTTCGCGAAAAATTCATTCATATTAGTACCGATTGAGATTCGAGATGGTCCATGCTGTGGGCCAGGAGTAGCATTAAGTGAGCTGAAATTTGCAGAGTTACCACTTTCATATGATCCATCATGTAAGGAAACATGCTCATCATTGCATTCATTGAAAGGAAGAGCAGGTTTTGGATGATCGAAATATCTACTATCATCATTGCTCCATTGAGCAGAGTCATCGACAGACTCAGCACCGTCTTTGATATCTTCATTACCGGCTGTAAATCCAGCAACAGAACCCTCATTCCTGGATTCAGATGTTTTAATTGAGGCTTCTTTAGACAACTTCGCTTCATTTGTGATGGCTGGCTTACTATCAGTCTGAGATACATTTTTGCTACTTCGTTGACTCCTTCTGCGCTTTTCAGTATTATGACTGACATCAGAGTAAGCACTTCCATTTAATTCATTGTGAAGAGAAGTATGACCATCATTGGTTTCATTGAGAGAAGGTGCAGGATTGGAACACTTACTGCCATTGTTGCTCCATTGAGTTGAGTCATAAACAGTTCCAGCACTGTCTTCAATATCACCATCACCGGTCAAAAAACCAGCACTTGAGCTCACATTCCTGGATTCAGATTTTTTCATTGAGGCTTCTTCAGACAATCCAGATTCATTTGCTACAGATGGCCCCTGCTCAGTCCGAGATAAATTTTTGCTACTTCGCAGGCTTCTTCTGAGCTTTTTAGAATTGTCAGTGACGTTTCCACTTAAGATGATAGATCTGTCTGAGAGAGAAGCTTTCTTAATGCTGATTTCAGGAGCTAAAGAATTTGAACTGCATGCAAGAGCATCTTCTGTGATATGAAGTCTCATGGGTTCTTCTAGGACAGATTGCATATCTCGCCTACTTACATCAGAGTGAGACTCATACGAGGCATCTTCCATGTCATTAGATGCAAACATAGAAAAATCTGCTAATGTTGAATAATCTTCAGCCTCAGTGCCACAGTCAGTTCGATGTGAGGTGCAGTTGGAAACTCTTTTCTTGGTTTTCCCAGACGAGTTCAAGTGACTGGTTCTTTTCTCTTCTACAAATGATTCATTTGGACAAGTTTGTCTGTTAAGTTTGGAAACAGAATAAGAGCTCAGGCTTCCATTTATTAAACTTGTATTAAAAGATGCTGCAGCCTTCAACCCACTGGCGACATATGTAATACTGTTATCAAAAATAGAGCATTCATCCTCACTTTCTTCTCCCTTGTATGGTGTGGCTGCTGTATAGTCTAAACTAGTCTCATACTCTAAACTCGTCCTATGATTTTTGACAGGTTGATTTCTGCAAATTGAATTATCAGCCTTAGTAAATGTGCGGTTGGTGCTTGTATTAACTGCAACTTCTGCTACTGAATCCGCTGAAATTACATCATGAATGCTATTATCGTTTTCAGGGATCTGATCATTAACGACAGTTATAACTGAGGAATTCCTTGGGGACGACCTTGGTGAATTGACATCCTTCTGAGAACTTTGTTTCGATAAATTTTTTGAATTTTGAATTTGCTCCTCAAAATTAGAGTTGTTTTTGATGAAGGTGCGGTCGGTATTTGAACGGATTGCACTGTCTCTCATCGTAACGGCTGATGATTCATCACAAAAACTGTTTCTGTCTTTAGGAGACTTATCACCTGCGACAGTTATGACAGGGGCTTTCCTTGAGGAAGATCTTGATGAATTGACACTAACATTTTTCTGAGAACTTCTGGTTGATCTTTCAGAGATGCTCAACTCATTAATTGATCCATCAGTTTCATCGTTTGTTTCGTCCCCTAGAGTGCATTCAACCTGCAAAGCTTTAGTTTTCTTCTTGGGATGAAAGGATGATACAGCATGTCTTGTACTACAGTCAAAGCTTGACTGAGAGAAGCTTGACTTAGCGCTTGTATTTACTGCAACTTCTGTCACTAAATCAGCTGATAATTCATCACGAAAGCTATTTTCTTTTTGAGGGATCTGATCATTAACGACAGTTACAACAGGGGATTTCCTTGAGGAAAATCTTGGTGAATTGATCTTGACATCCATCTGAGAACTTTGTTTTGATAAATTTTCCGAGTTTTTAATTTGCTCCCCGAAATTTGAGTTGTTCTTGATGAAGGTGCAGTCGGTATTTGAACAGATTGCACTTTCTCTCATCGTAACAGCTGATGATTCATCACAAAAACTGTTTCTGTTTTTAGGAGACTTATCACTTGCAACAGTTATGACAGGGGATTTCCTTGAGGAAAATCTTGGTGAATTGATACTGACATTTTTCTGGGAACTTTTGGTTGATCTTTCAGAGTTGCTCAACTCATTAATTGATCCATTAGTTTCATCGTTTGTTTCGTCCCCTAGGGTGCATTCAACCTGCAAAGCTTTTGTTTTCTTCTTGGGATGAAAGGATGAAACAGCATGTCTTGTACTACAGTCCAAGCTTAACTGAGCAAAGGATACGTCTGACATGCCCTCTTCTCCCAATGAACAATCATGCTGCTGTGAATTACTTCTTCTCTTCGGATGAGCAGAGGATTTAGAATGTGTCTTACTATTGTCAACAGTTTTTGGGGATAAAGCTTCACTTGCATGCATATTACTGATGTTTTGCTGAACACTACTTTGCTTTTCCATTTTTTCCGTGCGCTTCTTTTTCGAACTATTTGGTGTACCTGACTCTTGAGGCAGGCTCTGAGGGGGATAGGAAGAGAAAGAGTTTTCAATAGATGGCTCTTGAACAGGGGAAGTAGATTTTCTCTTGAGATTACGCCGAGGAGAGACCCTTTTTTCTCTCTTTTCTTCCGCAGTGGGTGAAACAGTGGTTAACACAGTTTCTCCCTCACCTAATGATACATCCTCTTCTCCCAATGAGCACTCGTACTGCTGTGTGTTAGTTTTTTTCATTGGGTGAAAGGATGATTCAGGCCGTTTTTTACTTCTGTCTGAGCTTGACGGCGTTATGGTTACATCTGACATACTTTCCTCTCCTAATGAACACTCGTACTGTTGTGTGTTAGTTTTTTTCATTGGGTGAAAGGATGGTTTAGGCTGTGCTTTAATTTTGTCTGTGCTTAACGGAGTTATGGTTACATCCGACATACTTTCCTCTCCTATTGAACACTCATACTGCTTTGTGTTAGTTTTTTTCTTTGGGTGGAAGGATACTTTAGGCTGTGTTTCAGTTTTGACGGCGCTAGACTGAGTTAAACTTGAATCCGACAATTCTTCATCACCTAATGTTGCATTGATAGGGAATGCTTGGCCTCCAGTTTTTGGATGGAAACTTTTGGATCGAGTCTTTGATGAATGGCGCGACCCAAAAGTTTCTGTTTCATTACTGGGACAGGCAGCACTACTGACACTTGAATCTGAAGCTGACTCAGACATTCCTTCATCCCCAAGAGTTGCATTGATGGCAACTGATTTACTTCTAGTCTTAACAAAAAAACTTTTGGGCCTTGGATTAGACACTGTACTGTTAGTACTTAAATCAGAATCTGAAATACCTTCAATTGTTTGAAATGCGGCACTGGTTCGGGAGCTTCTTGCATTACCTTTGCTTTGAGCTGGTCGTCGAAATTGACGCTTATTGCTCAATCCCAATGGTGATTTTCGCTCAAAAATCTCATTTAAATAAGAACCGTCCTCGAGGGATTTCGGAGATGAAAAACTATCGTCTTGCAGAACAGGGGTCATTGGAAGACCATTTTCTTTCAACATCCTATCCATAGTATCTTCCTCTTGTGTGCTGGGCCACCCAGCTGGGATGTCTGAAACATGAGATAAATTACAGAGTGAGATAACAAGTCAGAGTATACATTAATAAAAGTCCTAGAGATCAAATAGATGGGGAAAAAAACTTTAAAATTCCCATAAATAATACAGATTGACAGTGAGGTACCAATTGTTAAGAATTCACCAGAACACCTTGGGGTAGGAAGAATTTCTACCGACCAAAGCCTCTCAAAAACACCCACTGCTCCAATAAACTTAGTAGCAACGTGAGTGTTTTAAATCTGCTTGGAGACATGTGCTGTTTGCTTGATGTAGTTTCTGCCAGTGTTTAAAACTCACTGGTACTGTTCGGCAAATTCGTCCTTAAAAATTGGCAATGGCCCATAAAAAAGGCAGACACCCTCGGCAAACATGGCCCTGAAGAGATGGCTTTTGAATGGAAACAATTGAATTAAAGGGCCACCAACCATTAAAGCATTTGGAAGTTGACTTTTTCTATGAAAATTACTTCTTCTGGAGAGAGAATGGTGTTGATATTTAGCTCTTTAAACACTAAATCAACATGTGAATAAGATATGTGGAAAATTCGGAGGAAAAAATTAAAACAATTTCCAGAAAATTTGCATTTTATTAGAACATAGCGTGGCAATGTCTGAATATTTGTACATGGTGTCTTTCTCCAGCACATCGGAATCGGTTGAAAGCCACTTGCATTATGGTTCAGGGGCGATAAGGCCTTTTTGTTAGGCGCACAAGAGGGCTGAAGGGATGAGTAAAATATACAAATGGAAGTATGAATATCAAGCTTCATTCATACCAGGAATGTAACAAACCAAGTTCCTCCCAACCATTATATGTACATGTACATTCCTTACTATGTATCTTTCCATGGACTCACCTTGATAGAGAGAACTTGTTTCCTTCAAAAAAGGGGTGAGAGGTTGAGGGGTGCTATTTTCTGACATCGTTTCGGGGAGGCAGATTACCGATGAAGGCTGAAACCAAAATGCATGATGAGGATGAAGAATGTGAAATAAAGCTGACTTTTTAAAAGTTGCATGGAGACAGGAGCTGTAAGAGAAAATGTACGTTAAAAGTTACAAATACCACTAGAGGCTAGGATGGGGTTCTCATTATTTCTATTTTATATTTGTGATAAGAACAAAAGTGATTACGAAATGTGACATAAGTCAAGTTGCTGATGATACTGTTGGTGGTCTTCATTGATGACAAAGGCTTAAACTGGTGGTAGTTGGGGAAAGATGCGCAGAAAAACTTAGCTGGATTAGGTGATAAGAGAGAGATGAGACACAATAGCCGAATGCAGACAACAATAAAAACGCATTAAAATACAAAAACAAATGGGTTTACAAGGCTAAGGAGAATTAAAACAAACCAGGACGTTTCGGGCCACTTACATGCCCATTCTCAACTGGAACAGAAGCTAAAAAGTGTAAAAATTAAAACGAGAAAATGAGCATGCAACTGACCAAGGTAGGAATCAGTGCAAAAAAACTTCCTGGTTTGTTTTAATTTTCCTTAGCCTTGTAAACCCATTTGCTATTTGTATTTTAATGTGTTTTTATTGTTGGCTAGATTAGGTGTTAAGTTGAATAAAAAATGGCTCCGAAGTAATATTAGGAGAGTAAAAGTTGTGGTATTTAAAGAAAAAAATCATACATGATGATTGAATGAAGATACGAGTTGTTTAACCCACAAACGTGCCTATTTACAGCATTTTTGTGAAAAGGCTTGATCCTGTTTTCTATGTGGTGTTTTATATTTCATCGGGCTACTAAATTTATTTTCTTAATATCTTAATTGGCACATAGAGTAATAGTAATTTTGTGAATTATGTACAAATAAAGGGTGCGCAGAATAAGTGAAGTACCTTCAAGTATCTCTAGGATAGGTAAGTGCAGATGGTAACACATGGTTTGGACAAGACTTTCTTGAATTAAAGAGAGCAAATTCTCTGAGAGAACTCGTGAAACGTCATCCTCTGTTCCTCAGGGTGCGGGGGATAGGGGCCAACTAGCAAATTTTACAAACTGGGGTGGGAAAAAGAATCGCTTGATACTCTGTAAACTTTTCAATTTAGCTGTCAGCATATTCTGGTTCAGACTGATGCAGTGATCATTGGGGCGAAAGCTTGGGAGAGGGTCACACCTTCCTGCAATATCAACATTTTTAAACGGGGATTTCCCACTTGTGACATGCATATTGAGCGTTTCTTTTGCCAATCCTAGCAGAGACCCCCATTTTGTAATTCTGTCTTGGAGCGGACACATCGCAATAAAATCTTTGGCTCCTGTTGATCGACAAATTATTATCTGAGCTTTTTCTGGCAGATTAGAATGAAACTTGAGGCTGATTGACTACCGTGATAGAGCCCGAGCCAAATACGTTTCTTGCTTTTAGACTACGACAGAAGATCCGTTACCTTGATTCTTCCATCAACTTGACGAGTGAAGGTGATGTCAATCTTCTACCGCAGTCTAGAAGTTCTTAACCTTACTTGGCGTGGACTCTACACTCTTTCTAACTAAGTAAATTAGGTATGATTAATTAAGTGCACGATTTCTGTGGATTTTCACTTTGTAGCCAAAAAGAGGGCAATAGCCCCAGCACATCAGCTGTAAGTATCATCCTCAACCAAAAAATTTTCAAACTTCCCAGAAATGAAAGAAGAATCCTTCTCAATAGAATAAGTTGGAAAACAGTGATCAACCGCAATGTTGCCTACTAAGGACAATCCTGACTACATTTCTCTAAATTGACCGATTTTCTTGTTCAGAATGATTCTTTCAGCTTATGCGTAGGGGCTTTCATCCGTTACTGAGCTAAAGAGTCAAAATTTGCCTACAGCAATGCGATAAATCGCAGGCCAGTTCAACCACACCGAGAACCTGGGTCATTCATAAAGTTTACTTCCACAACGCATATTAGGATGAGCAGATGAATAAGTACTTACAGAGGAGCCGGAGTATGAACAGAGACTTGTTTCTTTGTGCGAGGCGAAGAGTGCTCCAGAATCAGAAACAAATCATAGCAAACGAACAGTACTTAGAGAAAAAAGATGACTCATTTTTCGAAGACGTTTTGGCTTCCTAATCCGAAACTTTGGAAAATGACCGCAAGCATGGTTCAAACTCTTCCTTCCATAGATTTTGAAGCACAAGATAACAGGGTAGGTTGATGGCAAGTGAAATAATCAGCTCAGTCTACACAGTAATCAGTGTAATCAGTTGTGTTTGTAATTGTCAGTTTCAGGGAATTAGGGAAGGCGAAGGCGGTTGCACATGGAAAAGAATTTTAAATATTCCCTACGTGACGTCACGAATAATGGCACATCGCTGCGTTTTTTGCTTTACCAAGGGTTTATAATGCCATTTATAATGCCACTCGCTGCACGTAAACAAGATGGCCTCAGCAAGAAACTGCTCCTACCTTTGTCGTTTTTCTTTCACGCTCCCTGAGAGTTCCCGCCAAAAGCACCAAAGACTTAAAAACGTCATTTACAAAATCTAGAGTAATAATAGAATACGAGGAAAATTAGCTAGTTATTATTTATTAGAGATTTACAGCAACTTTGGATAAGGAAAATCTAGTAGGTATGTGAGGAAAAATTTTTTTTACAAGAAATGTAATACAAAATTAAAATAAAAATTCACGGTGTGAATGGATTGAGATTATCAAAAAAGTGATCGAACATCGGACGCATTTGTGTTGATTTTGAAACATTAATAATTTCTTAAAATAAACCTGAAAGGTTTTCAGGGTTTTTGAATTTTACAGGGGGAGCTCTGTGTAGAAATNGGGGGGGGGGGGGGGGGGGGGGGGGGTCAACGTGGAAACAGGGGAGAACTTTTAGGAACCCCCTTGTTTTCTGTCCCCCCTCCTAGCTACAATGTATACCTACCTACCTTATTGAGATTTTCTTTTTTTCCCAAAATTCATTCCATAGGACAGCACATAAATTGAGTTCTACGTTAAGTTCGAAATTTCAAAGACCGCCAGTCCGTCTGTATCAAGAAGTGTAAATCTACCTAATTTAATATCGACGGTAAAACTCCCAAATCACGTATCTCGTATGCGGTGTTTTGAAATCTCTGCTCCTATCTCATTTTTTATGAAGCAAACAAATCAACATCATTCTTTGAAAGAGGTGTGTGAGAAAACCATTGAAAAAGCGGCCAAAAATGCCTCAAGGCATTCTCGAATTTTGAACACTTGGGGTGATACGGTATCTTTCGAGATGCCCAAAACCGATCGCCGTTTTGCTTGGAAAGCGCCGGGTTGCGACGTTGCCATTTTTTAAAGTAGAAACCTTTAAAAATTCATGTTTCCGCCAGGGCCGGATTTTCCTACTTGCCGCCCATGGGCCGCCTGTATTTTGTCGCCCCCTTCTCATTCGTTTTGAAACGTCAATAAATTAAAACCATCAAGTGAACGTGCCAGAGGGAGAGGGGTGCATAAGACGCGTTTACTCGTGTTGAACACATTTTTTGGGAGAGCCCTGTCAACACTACTAGCAAAAGGTCACGGAACTTTGCGCGAAAGTCAAGTTTCGTAACCTATCTCTAATGGACAAGACCTTCCATTCATAAGAAATGAACGAAAAAATTATGAAAAAACGAACACAAAATTTGGTTTAATGATTTTAACTTCCGCCGCCGCGCCGCGCCGACCGCCCCGTGTTTGACGCAATGCGTGAAGTATTCACGCAGTCTTGTAGGCGCTATGCGTTTCACGCTCAGTTCACGCTGACCGCACTGTGTTTGGCGCAATGCGTAAAGTATTTATGCATTCTTGTAGGCGCTATCCGTTTCACGCTGACTGCAGAAACCGCACTGTGTTTGATGCAATGCGTGAAGTATTCATGCGGTCTTGTAGGCGCTAATCTGTGTTACATGCCGAATGCCGCGCCGAGGGCTTCTCCTTTTCATCTCAAGTCCTCGTCATCATTTCTCCTTAAGTCGCGCCGTTCCAGGCCAAATTGCGTGTTTGGTTTCTCTCTTAACTCAACTAATTAAAGGTGGCTGTCTCTTGTATCACTGAAAGACGACAAAATTAGAAATTACTATTCTATCAGGAAATGAGAGATTTCGTAGCCTTTTCTCATTTGTAATTTTTTTTTTCTAAATCCGATTTTTTTTTGTACCTACATTGAAAAAAATTGCAAAATTTGCCGCCATGGGTCGCGGCCCATGTGGCCACCCCCTTAATCCGGCCCTGATTTCCGCTGAATCTCAACCGATTTCAATGAACTTTTTTTTAAAAAAATTTTCCTCTTAAATAGAGCTTTCTAATGCATAGGTACTTAATTTTCTGGGTTTATTTGGCTTTAAGGGGCACTTGCGCGGTTTTAGCAGTTTTTCATGGACACAAAAATTTTGTTTTTATTTTACCGCGATCATGGAATCGACGGAATCTGAACAAAAACTTAAATGAGAGTTAAGGTGCTCACTTTTCTAACAAGCACATGATCAATCCGGGAAAACGTTTAGTTTCCGAGATATGACCGCTCAAAGTTGGTCACATGTTCTTTTGCGCGAAATATGAATTTTTAAAGGTTTCCACTTTAAAAAATGGCCACGTCGCAACCCGGCGCCTCTAAGCAAAACGGCAATCGGTTTTGGGCGTCTCGAAAGATACTGTTTCACCACAAGTGTTCAAAATTCGAAAATGTCTTGAGGCATTTTTGGCCGTTTGTTCACACACCTCTTTACAGAATTTTCGTCAGTCGTAGAAGATTAATCACGGCAGTGTTTCAGACTTGCCGTTGAATTGTTTTCCATTTAAAACATGAAGTGCGACAGGGAGTCTGCAACGTCGCAAACTGAGATACATGGTTTATACTTTATTGGAATTTCACCGTCAATGAAGCTTATCAGTTGCGCTGAGACTTGGCAGCGCTGATGGCTCATGATGACGTCAATGCTTTCATGTTTTCAATTGGCCACCCATCACCACCCTTGGTTTTCTCCCCTTGGTAAGTTGGGTAAGTTGGGTTAGTTTTTGATTCAATTGTTATCCGTGATCGCGAAAGGAGACGTGCTTCCTGGTCATGATTGTGGACTAATTTTTTAAAGTTTTCCGAGTTTTTCCATGCCATTTATTTAATTTTTATATAATCTAGTTTAAATACGATGGCAGATTTCGATGTTATATACGAGGAGGATGAGATCGAAGGCGAGGAACTACCCAGCGAAAACTTTATCAGCTCAGTACCTGACCCAGTTGTAGTCAGAGGGGCAGGAAATTTAACAGTGTAAGGTTATTTCATTATTATCCAATTAATTATTTCTTATCCCTGAACTGAGTTCAGCCTCTCCTACAACTTATCAGACCAAGTAACTGCATGATTGCGAGAGGAGTATTTCTCATTGTCACCACCTGTGTACATAACCTTCACTTTGTTTGCAAACAAGGAACATCAATTTCAGTTTCATAAGTCACTTTTATCTTACCTTTCTGAACAATTTTTTTCGCCACCAGGGTCTATATTCCGCAGGAATCCAGTACCCTTCATTTTTTCATCATCTATTCAAATTTTGCACAAGTCTGAGCAGTTTGAGTGCTGACTTCGAAGAATTTTTCTTTGTTTACTTGTCAACTTCAAAGTCCAGCGGGAGCTCTTTTACCGAGTACAAAGAACCACAAATAATGGTGCTTTATCTTAGTTTCTCATCATGATTCTGCCATTCTCTGCTGTTTATCTCCCTAATTATAACACTGCCACTGTGTGTAGTTGTTGGTTGATTAAGTTTAGTCTACTCTCAAGTCCGTTCCAAAACTTCCGATTGGTCGGCAGCTTAGCAGTGCAATGTCAGTACATCAACAAATGCTGAATTTTACTTCAGAGGTACCAATCAAATTGAAGTCTGACAATCAAAGATTTCTTGCAAGTCATTTGTGTAAGGCTCATAAGATTTTGTGCCTTTCTAGTCTTCAGCTTATGTAAGTGAAATTTCTGAACATGCAGATTTGACAATTTGCTAAGTTTGGGCATTTGAATGCTGCCATATTTTTCCCTTCGTCTTTATAGGGTGTTGGTGTTGCACCATGAATCAATATAAATCGTCTTATTACTAATTTAGTCTAGCTAGTCACGTATGAATACTTGTTAAACAGCTACCATACAAGCCTTGGGCTAAGAAAAGTATTACTGAAATGTTCAACTTAGAATAACGTATACTCAACTAAATATAACTATTTTTTAAAATTTATTTTGCTCGACGGCAAGTTTGAAACTCTCTTAAAATGTTTTTCTTAATGGAACACAAAATCCACTACCCTGCTTGTGTAACACTATTTGCTGCCATTTGAGATGGCACAATACTCAAATCAGTCCATTCTTAAGTGTAAAAAAAAAGAAAGAAAGAAAATTTTAAGGAAGGAAATAAATGAAGACATGATTCCTTTCAAAGTAGAATTTAAAGAAACCCTAAAATTATTCCCTGATTGGGTCTTTGTTCACCAAGACCTCACATGTATGTTTTCTTGGAAAGTTTTAATTGGAAGTGTCTCTTTATACTTTCAGTTTTGGACTCAGTAATAAATTCGACACCGAGTTCCCTAGTGGTTTGGTATCCAGAGTAGCACCAGAGGAATACTCGGCAACATTAAGCAGAGTGAATTCAGTCTTGAAGAAAACACTTCCAGTCAATGCCAAGTGGTTGTTTTGTGGATGTGTTTGTTGCTGTTGTACCCTAGGCTGTTCATTGTGGCCGGTCGTTTGTCTTAGCAAAAGAGTAAGTATCTTTTTGCTTCTTCCAAAGAAAGTAAAGCTTTAAAAATTTCATTTGATCAGAGCGTTATAAGGACTGAATAGAGCCTCGTAGGGTACTCTCTCCTTTCACCAGCAGATGGTAGTCTTAGCAGTAAGTTAAGTAAATCAAAATTAAAAAGTAGTGAATTGTTTAAATGGTGTCAGAGAAACAAGAACTTCTGCTTACACCAGTGTGGATGTGTCTCGTCTGAGTACTTGAGGGCTGTAGAAAAACAAGAGCATGACACATATTGATAGAAAAAGACATGTTTTAAGCAGCGAATCAGAACGATGTAAAACTAATCCAACATCAATGTGAAGAACAATTCACAGAACAACTGAATTTCTAAAAACAGTTATCTATTCAGCTTTGGTGTTTTATTGATGCTTTTAAAAGTATCTATCAACTAACAATATGACAAGAGAAAGTTTATCTTATCTCATTAGAGAACAAAATTTAAATCAAGTAATAAAACTGGTTAACTTAAAACAATATGAGCTCCTGGAATCGACCACAAAAGTTAGAATCGCCATCCTCAAGATTTATCCTTGACAACAATTTAAAAGTTGTCAAATAAAGAACAACTGATTTAAACCCTCTTATGCCTTTGAGGAATGTTTTTTTTGTTGTTATACGTTTTTTGCATGATCTTACTTCTTCATTTTTCAGACCCCTATGTAGAAACATATGTAACCTATAACACCCCTATGTAACCTATGTATGTGTTTCAGACTCAGCACTCAATAGACAAGTTACTTGAGTGGGAGAATAATCATCTTTATCACAAATTGGGCCTTCACTGGAGATTAACAAAACAAAGATGTGATTCCTCATCAATGATGGAATATGTAAGTATCTTTTGGTGTGACATTTAAGATAATGGAACACTATCAAAGGAAAATCCATCAAAATAAAATTAATTAGATTGATTATATGGTCTGCAAGGCACGGTCTTAACATGTTTGCCATAGAAGCTCTATCCCGAAACTTAATAATGAGACGTACATACTTCTAGAACGCAGGAGACGTCCAGCAAAATTGTGGACAGGTGGCATTCAAGATGAAATTACAAGATGCCATTTACCAGATGACCTCTGGGTCGATACACAAGAGTGGCGTTTAGTTGACGCAGAGCGCCCGGGCGCGCTGTAGAAGCGACTTGAATGTATGTATGTACATTAGGGTGGTTCTTATTTTTCGACTTTTCGAAAATCAAAGGTCCGACCCCCCTAAAAGTTGTCATTTGGTGTAAAAAGAGCCTACAAAAAATTTCAGCCCGATCGGATCATCCTAAGTGGTGCCGCCGGGGCCGACAAGTCTCCAAGCGGGAACTTCAAATTCTGGACAATTGCGTTTTTTCGTCATTTCGCGAATTTTTTTCTCCCCTTTAAAATGTAGCTACGGCTTTGAAACTTTTTGAGGCAACACACTTATTAACGTACTTTATGAGAAAAATAAAACAATTTACCTCACCACTTTGAAAATGCCCCCTT